CTGCGCATCGCGCCATGCGGGATTGACAGAGTTTTCTGGTATTGTCGACCGTGAAGCATTGAAAGAGACTCCTGCAACGACTGCCCCGTATTCGGTGATGGTACGAAAGGAATCAACGAGTGGGTGAAGATCGTTATCTACGGTGCTCCGCGGGATCAGACGGCCGCCGATTTGAAACTCGGTCACGGCCATCCAGGGGCTGAATCGCGTGTAGCATTCGTAAAAGCTGGAACAACTGGCAATGCTGTAAGCTGTACTAGTTAGTAGTAACTCTTGATTGATTCGATCAAACGTACTATAGGTCATGTTGTTGCTGCTCAGAAGGTCCAGGGTGGGCTGCATCAGCCTCTGCAACTGCTCCTTGGTGCCGCCAGGAAGCGTGGACGGCATGTTCTTGAAGACCGCGTTAGTGACTTCCCAAACCGCAGCACCACCTGAATCGGCCAGTCTAGCCGTATCCTTGATATAGGTTGCGGCAGCTTCCCAGAACCTATCCTCAGTCACTTTTTCATTGGTGAAGGTCAAATTGGCGATGGCGGCCGGAAGGTCAGTATAAAGCTTGCTAGTCATGGACAGGGCAACGGCGTAGGTGCCCCCGCCGCCACCACTCATCGCCCAGTATAGATCAGAGTTATTGAAAGGGGTAGCAATCAAGTGATTTCCCGTGGCGGTGATTACCTCCCACTCCAGAACCTGGTCTGCAGCCAGGCCATACATGGACATCAGCTGGCCGTGGCCTCCGCCTTGAGAATATCCACCCGCATAGCCTACTGTCTGGCAGTTGCCACCCACGAGGCTGTACCCATGTTCATGGGCCATATTCATGGCGTCCAAAATCTGCACACCTGCGCCGACCTTGATGGCGGGCCCGGAGTAGTCTGTCGACTGGTATTCGACAATCTCGATCTCTTTCAGATGATGAGTCCAAAGGGCCAGGGCACCAGCCCCCGTGGACCTGCCAAGATAATCGTGGCCAGTATTGCGGACAACAAGGCGGATATTACGCTTGGTAGCAAACTCGATGGTTGCCTGATAATCCTGCGCGCTGCTGGCATTCACGGCATACCGGACCAGGGGCTTGATGGTGCAGGGTGTGTTGGGCAGGTATGGGTCGCAGGAGAAATTGGCGAACCACGGCGCCATTGGCGAGTAACTGGCCTCATAGTGGGTTTTGGTTTCGTTCCACACTGCCAGCAGCTCTTCACAAGCCGCCGCATCGTATGGCAAGAATGGACTGTTGTAGTGGCAGACACTCGCAGCAGGGATTGTGGCAATGAGCCTCCCCCCCAGCGTAGCGTTGAAAGCGCTCCAGTCCTGCGTAGAAGGCCAGCACGCATCTCCGGGAAAGCAGCGACATGACAAGCCGGTTGAAGCTGAGGCAGTGGGTAGCAATGAAACGAGGGCGAAGGACAGTTTGCCGGCCATTCCGGAGGAAGCACAAAACTTCAATGATGGACAGCGAAGTGACTATTAGCTTGCATTCGAACTCGGCTTTGGGTTCTGCCAGGGATTCAACTATATCTCTTCTGTCAATTACATGTTCGCCAAGGCCTTTTACTTCGTATACTTTGTATACTATGGGAGTTGAAGAGGAGGCGCTCACGGCTTACCGCCACACCCGCCTGGCTGCCTCCACATCCGTACCATCCGCTTCCGCTGATACCTCATGACGTGTTGAGGGCTCACATCACAAGCACGTGACCGGAGAGACCATCTCATAAATGATGAGTGAGTTATTGATGCCAGAAACTGTGTTTGCTTTGTTGCCGTCTTCCGTATTAGATTTCCGGTATGTGGGATTGCTGATGGGGACGCATGTACTTGTCAGACAAACCTTCGGGGTCTGGCGGCTCCTGTTTCGTCAGACCAGTCGTTGAGCTGGTCTGCCCTACTAGTACTACTAAGGGTGTACCTCTACATCTGGCGTCTTGCCACGGGCTACGCTTTATCAAGCTTGACTTTCTAGGAGCGTCCTATTGCTTATTTCGTTGTATTTAATGATTGCCTAAATGTAGCTATCTGTACGTGACCGGGACTTATTAGGGATACACCTTTAGAATTAATCACAGTATTAGTTGGAAATATGTCTGGCTGTTCTACATAGCCTTCGCTTTATTATAAACAACAGTGACCTAACTTGATTACTACTTGAAACTGTTCTGTTATACTCTATATACTCTATCTGATATACACTATTGAATAGGTGAACAAACTAAATAGATTACCTGTTCACTGAACTACAATTGGCTCCTGACAGTAAACACATACTATTCAAAGGATCCCTCAGATTCCGATCCCTCAAAGTCCTCACTGCTCGCACCAAACTGACGGCATATGTGGCAAATCCGATATTTCCTGCACCCCGAACCACATTCAATGCCTCTGTCACCTCGATTGAGACCAAGCGTACAGACATCGCAAGGCTGTTTCGACCGATTCGACTCATAATGAAGAAATGAACGGATTTCTTCTATCGGACTAAGCCCCCCCAGTTGCATGCCGTAGCCGACGATGACTTCTCGCAAAGCATCATTTCCAGTCGAGCGCATCCACCACGACAGATTGCGACCAAAGCGGTCCCGGGGCTCCTGTGTTAGCGGATGGTTCTCAAGGATCTTCCGGATGACATTCTCCCGTCCGTGCTGAACCGCTACAACCAGGGGAGTGAACCCAAATTGGTCAGGACGATGCACGGCGCAGCCCCGGAATCTAAGTTCTTCGAACATGTCTTCATGGCCAGCGACTGCCGCGTGGAAGAGCGCCGACCGACCTTGTTGATCAACGTCATCCAATCCGAAACCGGGAGACTGCAGTAATTGGGTGAAAACACCTTGGTGACCCTTAATGACTGCCCAGGAAAGCGCGTTTCGCCCGTAGCGGCCATCAACCCCCTGAAGGGAAATGCCCTGCTCTATCGACATTGTGACCATGTCCGCTTTGCCCTGGAACGCAGCCCAACACAGAAGAGGCATACGGAAGACGCCTTGCTCGACATCGCCGCCCGGATAGCGTAACAATATCTTCACCATTTCCGGAGTACCCTGACGGATAGCCATTCCAGTGATGGTAGTCCCTTTCAAGAAAAGGTTACACTCGGACTTTTGCAGGAGTAAATCGGGCCTGCGTTGCAGGAAAAGCTCGATAATATGTGGCCGGAACGTGTTATCAACTTTTATTCCACATTCCCACCAATCGTGTTGAGCCATTATTACCATCTCCAAAGGTGTCATGTTTTGTACGCCCGGCTTATCAACTTTCGCATTGTGGTCCATAAATAATTTCACCATTTCCAGGTTGCCTTGTATTGCGGCGCAGGCTAGGGGTGTCAATCCTTCACAAGTACTGACATTGACGTCAGCCACATTCTCCAACAATATGGCTGCATCCTCAAAGCAACAGTCAAGTGCAGCACTATGCAAAGCAAGCGGTCCATCTGATCCTACTCGGGCCTCTACATCCGCTCCTCCTTCGATGAGACGCCTCATGATTTTCAGCCGCGCCTCAGCTTCCTGCGAACTTTTGGGCTTTGTCTGAACGAGTGTTAATAGTGGTGTGAACCCACGGGTATCCGTCGGATTGACGTTGGGTTTGTACTTTTCGAGCAGCAGGTTGACTGCCGCCACTTGGTAGGTCCGGGCTGCGAGAGCAAGCGGCTTATGTCCGTCAGCATTGACCGCTTCGATATTGGCCTGATGCTTCAACAAAAGCTCTGATGCCTCTAGGTTATCGTCGTAGGCGGCCCAATGCAGCGGGACGCACCTGCCACCATCCGCATCCGTCTCGTTCACGTCCTCGCCGTTCTCCAACAACATGCGAACTATCTTCGCGTTACCACCCTCTGCAGCACAGCAAAGTGGCGTACGTCCACCAATAGTCCTTTTAGCTTTCCACTGGTCCCGTTTGGAGGCAACTATGCTGTTGAGAACGTTCTTGTACCCTGAAGCAACCATGATAGTCTCCGCATAGCTAGTGCTGCCATCCATGGCTCTGATCCTCCGCCGTTTGGCTAGAAGATCAGACACAGCGTCCTCTTCCCCTAACAGACAGGCCATTGCCAGGGCGAGCCGACTTTCAGTTTCTTCGGCGTCGGTCGTCAACCTGCCATTCTCTTGCCGTCGAATGGTGAGCTGTTTCACTTTGGCTAACAGGTTCGAAATTGGATTTGGCGACGACATGATGAGGCGATCAATGGATAGCACTAAATGCGTAGTAAAGGAATCTTTCTATCTTGCTCATTAGGGTTCGGTCTGATCATGATGGTGTTCGTGAGGTGTGTTCCGCTCGATCTATATAACTTTACTCGAGACGCAAGGGAGTGCAACGGTTAGGCAACGGCTGCCTGGTGCCTGCCCTGTGATACGTCAACTGCACCATGCCCCATCCCCATGCATAGATTGTAGAAGACGTGGTTACCTGGCGGCTGATAGCATTTGCTGCCTGGACCTTGCCATGTGGGTGGTTTTGAGTGGCGAGTGGAGATGTTGTCAGAATCGGGGCACAGTCAATATCGATGAACACCATGCCAAATGTCTCTTATCTCACAATTACATGTACGCCTTGCGCACCTTTCAAAGGTTGAAGACCCGCGTATCGACCACAGGCTCAATTCAATTCAACTCCACCGCTTATATCCAGTATTTGCTCCTTGCTCGCAAATTAAGCCCTACTCATATTCACCTCAATTAGTAAGTTGTGGTTACCGTCTCATCCAATTGACAACTTTACGAAGTGCTAATATACTAAGTGCCTAGGATCGAAACGGATATCAGAGCATAGATTTGACTATTTATGCTCCATTAAAAGGATAATTAGCTACCGAATTTGGCTGATTCCAATACCTCTTTATGTACATAAACGTACGATAGTCTTACCGACTAACTTATTTAAATAGTTTCTCCCGCAGACAAAAGCCGGGGACCATTGAACAACGGGTTATGCTACGTGGAAGCCTTCCTAGATCAGGCTACACTGGAAAGCACTAATATATAAGCAATAATTTAATTCGACTATAAATCATCCACTACTTCACACTGATCCTCCGCACACAATAGCTATCCCGATAACTTCAAAAGTATCCAGCGAGACCACAAACAAATGTGTATAACCTGCGCAGCAGATCCACACCCCTTCTTCAAAGCATCTTCCTAAACCGCAATAGCAGCATCAACAAGAGGGGCCGCCTCCTCACGCTTAGAGCCCTTGGGGGCCTGATCGGCAAAGTCCTTCACACCGGTGTCGATGGCGTCAGAGATACCGCCAGCAATGGAGCCAGCCAGGCTCTGGAGGTTCTCCGGGACCTTAGAGACGATCGTGTCGGACAGCTTCTTGGCGGCAGCCTTCTGCTGGGTCAGGTCGTTGTAGGTCTGCGTGCCCTTGCCGGCCTTGACGATGAGACTCTTCTTGTCGTCGAGCTTGTTAATAACGGCGGTGATCTTGTCCTTGAGGTCGTTGACGGGGCCGGGGAGTCCCAGCGCGTCGCCGCTGCTAAGGGCGGCCGTGCTGCTGACCTTGGTGTTGCCGTTGTTGATGGCCGTCACGAGAGTGTCGGAGGCTTGCTGGACCTTGGCGACGTCGCCACCGTTGTAAGCTTGGATGGCAGAGCCCAGGGCGTCGACCTTGGTGCCGATGCTGGAGAGGACGCCGGTGACGGTGGGGAGGTCGCGCTCCTGAACCGCGGTGGGCGCAGCGAGGGAGCCGGCGGCGAGGCCGAGGGTGAGGATGGAGACGATGGAGAGCTTCATGATGATGGTTGAGGTATGGGGATTTGGATTGAATTGAGGATTGATAGTAGAGTGATGTTTGCTGATTGCTGCTGATGATGATAGAGATGATTGAAGGACAATTGAGCGACTTTATATAGCTCTCTGGCTATGTCCTCGTGAAGAGAGTACATTCAAAAACCGGCAAAAGAACGACACCATGATGATACTTTGCGTGCAAAACCTGAATAGTAGGTCTGTTTCCAGCAAATGACGATGTGCAAACCCCTGAATTGTCAGTGATTTACAGGGACTGGATCACGAACGGTTAGAAAATTGCTGAATTTCCGGGGAAGTTGAAGCAGAGACCCAAAAAGCGGGTGTTTTGAAGCGTTTCCGTTTGCTTAGTCGAACTTTAAATGTTAATACAGAACCCTGTCCCACGGGGGTGTTCATGAGGATCACACGCTATGTCGATCTTTATTTATAATTTAACATTTGGCTTCACTTACTACCCCGTGGTCCTGATTTTTTGGTTCGCACATCATCGCGGGAGTAATTTTTGCGGAGCTCGGGATCAACCGCCAAGTTATGAGCCGACCAACCAGGTCGAATGGTTTCACGATGTAGAGTTTCCGAGGCTATCGGTTCTACACTCAATTTTACCCGCGGGGGTTTGGGTTTGTCTGGGAGCTTTGACCAACACCAAATACGAGATTGTTACGTCCTGCTTCTAGCGGCTTCGTTGTAGGGCAGGGCGATTGCGGGATCACCTTTGATCCAATCACTACCAGGCGGCCTTTCTGGAGGACTTGGACTTGATTACTGCCGATTAGGACTCCGGATTGTATCAGAGTGTGTTCAACGGGCTCGTGCTACACTGGCACGTTACGCCTCATACAATGCTAAGCCACGGGGCGGAAACATTGGTGAAGGGAAGCTGGAAAGAGGATGAGATGAGCGGGATTAGGAAGGGTAGCAGTGTTATTAGGTCTGGCCGGGCTGATGGTTATGTTTACAATTGCTGGGCTTGTTCGACATGATTTCTTGTATCCTTAATGGAGAGCTGGGTCTTTATTCGCCTTCCGATAGACGATGAGAGATTCTAGATACCTGAGACGTTGTTCAAATTTGATTTCACGAAGTTCACTTTCCTGTAGGGCTTAATGGAGCAAAGTGTGTTGTATATGCACGGCTGTTTTTGGCCTGTGAAAAATCTACACATTCTACTATATTACCGCTTGCTAGGGCTAAGATGGAACTAATAAATTTAGTAAACAGTATATCTGCTACATGGCGGAATCACTCGGCTTACTAGTGTTGCAATATTCCAAACATATATATAGTTGGCTGTGTTATACAATGGCTTTCACTTCAACTAGCTACTACTACTATATCAGAGGAAGTATTATCCAGTCTTGAATATATAGTAGTTTCTACTGAAGCACTTTGGCGGTCTCAATATGCCTTATCATTTATATCCTAGGGCCTAATATCGGAAGTTCAACTAAAAAAAAAAAAAAAAAAAAAAAAAAAAAAGCAAAATGGGGGTTTACTCTTTCTTTTCTTATGAAGTCACAGCTAAATTCATCGTCATAAAAACATGATACGTTACAGATGTTGATATTCAGCGCAGAAAAACCAGATCGTCTCCCGAAAATGCCCACGCCCCTGCTACCTGGACGAGACCCATACCAAGCTCAATCAACGTCGCGCATATCACAGAGTCACACCTATACACAAATATCATTCATGTGTTATGATATTGATTCTTGTCCGACTTTGAGGGTCATGATTGATTGGCGTCCTTCGAAGGCGGCGGCGTACATATCCGGGGTGACGAGTACGCTCCCAGTCCTGGCTTGACGGGGATGCTCCTAGTGATGGCTCCTGTGGGCCGTTAACGATTTAGACCACAATCTGGGAAACAGCCTGAGCGGTTTAGCGGCGGCCTTGCCAATGAGCGTGCAAGTCTGGGATCACGAGTTTCCTCCGGGTCGTACGAAGGTTGTTGTGCTTTTGGTTCCTCCGGACAGGTATCTAGTTCGAAACGTACGCGTTTCTTGGGCCTACCCTCCTTGCCAACCCGGTTTTTGTTGCCCTTTTCCACCTCTTTATCTTGCTTGTGTTTTAAATTGGCAAGGTCCAATTTCAACTTTTTATTCTCTTTTCGGAGTGCCTCAATCTTCTCAATCGCATCACGGGATACGTCGTTGCGCTCCTTTTGCAGTTTCGCACACTCCAACAAAGCCGATACCCGATCCTCTTGGGCGCGAAGGCAATCTTCCTGCAATTTGTTGACCAGTTGCTTCAACATTTCGATTTCATCGGAAGAACGTGCAATTGAATCGCTGGCTGCGAGCAAAGCTCGAAGCTCCGCGAGATCGCTTCGAAGCACGTTAAGGTGATCTGTCGTGAAATCGAATACTTCCTGTGGACGTCGTTGAGGGTTTTCTGTAGAGGATTGAGCCCCTGCCAATTGTAGCACAGAGAACGTTGGTTCACAGGTCGGTTCACCAGGAGATTCAGCTGGGACGGTTGGAGTCATGGTGACTGAGTTGCTCCTGTCTGCACGCTCTGGTTCAAAGGCCATGTCAAGTTCGGGAGAGGCGAACATAGCCAGACGCACTTGCTCAGATAAAATCTTGAAACGTGCATCAATGGCCTCAATATCCTCATCCATGATATAATATGGATAAAATGCTATCAGAGGAGGTATTTGTGGTTAGAAATGAATACAACTTTCGAGAGAAAGGAAGGTTGTGAGGAAGAAGTGAGGAGCTGCACAGGAGAATCTGCTCGTCAAAGCCTTTTCTTGACAGTAGATGTGAAAATCGCCCTGGTGATAGATCGATTAGTCGTTCATTTGTACGTGTGAAGGATTCCTAGCACCGACGGGTCAGCTATAAGTATCAGTCATGTAGTTTGCTTTCTTCCTCTTCATCGTCACACTTTCTGCACAACAGATCTTGACTGTTAGACCTGTTGGCATCCCAGGTGAGTGACAAAAGCAAGCCCCTGTTATCATAGAAGAACCTTACTTATCATATATTGAGCTCATCACAAGTCTTTGACCTGGATTCATTCAATCAACTCTTGAAAAGAACATCCGCGGACCAACAGTTTGAAGTCCTGCAACGTCCATCGTCTCTGTTGAAATCGCGCATTCATCTACATAATCACCACCAAACCAACGCGATGCCCAACAGCACGAACGGACGCCCTGTTCAAGATGCTCATGTAGGTGGACATGAATCATCTGATACAATCGAAACATCCAGCAGTGTCACTGTTGGCCTGATGGAGCGGGAGATAAGGGACCAGATCATGGCCCTTGGGAGGAACACGACTACTGAATTTGAAGAGCAGCTCTATATCGAACCCTACACTGCTATAGAAGCCCAGGAAGGAGAAATCGGAGCAGAAACCGCTTCGAATACAGATGAATTCCAGCGCCGTCACGGTTCGGTTATCGACCTTACATCCATCCCAGTCCCTCTCGAAAAGGCTCTAGCCAAGATCAGATCGACAGGCATGCCAGAGGGCAAAGTTCTCCGCTGGCCGGTGACTCTGGCCCAATGGCAAAGCGACGAATTTGTCGCGGATGCTGTTGAGGATCTCGAATTTTTCTTGGATGTTTTTAAGATGCGCCTCGAAACCCTTCGCGAGGGAGCAGTTGAGAAAGATCCTAAGCTTCGCGCTGCGTTATGGCGTGCCGAGATGAACGCCCTGGATTCTCCTCTGCTTAAAAGGCCTCGGCGTTAATGAGTACTTGCTTTAATGCCGTTACCTTCTATTATGCATCGATATGTTCTCTTATTGAACGTTGTTACCCCGTTTTAAGTCGCTCGAGTATGTGTGATCTTGATTTCGGCTCAACTACGCCTGATGTCTACCTTTTCCTTCAATCTGTTTTGAATTCCTTTCATCAGTTGAAAGACACATATGTCATTTCTTTCGGTGTGGTGGTATCATGTCGTCAAATGTAGTTAGAACCTTACAAAGATTCAAGAGTCTTCACAAGTTTACTTTCATGTCATATGGCTGTCCCGAAGTCATTGCTTTCCCCCAGCATTGCAGGCAGTACTACTGCTGTACTACAAGAAACGCTTGAATGTTGATATCCCAGATGAGAATCATCCCTTAGCTCAACTCCAATAGACATAGTGTGTTACATTGGCATGTCTTCTATTATGAATATTACATAGCCATAGCTGAAAGCATTCAGAGAATGTGAATAAAGTTTAGCTTAAGGCTGCACTGTCCTACCCAACAATGCAGATGTCGCGGATAATTCTGTAGGGTTCAGCCAGCCACTGTAGCCATTCTTTGCTGCTTCAACTAAGTGCCTATCTTCTCCTCTACCAAGAGGGACGCAGAACTATACATGAGGCAAAAGTGACAATTATCACTGGTCTACTTTATGAATCGATAGCAGGCCAACCAGGGTCATAATCATAAGATCACAGTCGCTAGCAGACACGATTGCATTCATCAGAGGACGATCAGCCCGAATGCATACCGAGAGCCAGCGTTCCAAGGAGGAATGGATGATGAGACCATAGGAAAGCAAAGAATCCCAGCCGTCCTCCAACTTGTTTACAAGGAATCTTACCCTTGATCAACAAGATATAAATATAATGTACTACCATCGTTCTTCTACTTCTCCTAGTTTGAACATCTATGACCCTCTGAACCCCAAACTCATATTATCAAGAAAGCCTCAATTAGTACTCGGAGATATTTTCCGTCAAGCTATCCAGCCAATCAATTCAATCCCTCCTTCCTACATACAAAATGAAAGCAGTCATCCTTGCAAGCACCATCTTGGCCACCCTTACCTGCCAAGCCGCAGCCAGCTATCGTATCAGCTATCGTGGAAGTGACCAATACCTGATACCCGATATTTTTTCAAGTTGGTACTGAGGATGACATCATCACCGCAGCATACAGCGAAATCTTCGGGCCGCTGTTCTTGTGGGACATTGTGCCATCAGAGTACTCAGATGGGTCGTTTACGATTCAGAATGTCGGCTCGAAACAATATACTAATGCCCCTGAATTGGGACAGGACTGTCAACTGTCGGAATACGCAACGCCATTCCAAAACGAAACGGTTCTTAAAGAGGGCCAGACATACTATACCATTCAGATAAACATTAACGACCGTTTCTTTCCTGAGTCATGGGCCCTCGAGGTCGATGATCATTTGATGACCCAAGAAAGAGACGAGAGCAATGACCGGCAGTTGCTTATCTTTGAGGAGGTTGAGGCATAATGGAGGAAATTTTTCTTTTCTTTTCTTCTATATTCTTCACATTTTCTCTTTCACGGTTCGGCTTTTCTTTGGAATTGAATCAGAGAGCTGTTGAGTTGGTTTTTTTTTCGTCCAGCTGGACTACTCACCTCCGGCATGGTTTTTTCTTTTTTTTTTTTCCCTTCTCAATGGCATGCATGCAGCTATAGGACAATGATATAATAATTAGTCTAAGTTCGAGTATTGTTCTGTTTTCCTGATATGATCTCCGGTATTGAGTTCTACTATTGCTATTTCTCCAGAGAGGAGAGGTAGTAGGAGTTGATATGTATCCAGCTTACAAGAAGTCAGGGTTTCTGGGAAACATAATATTAATAGTATTTATTTCCATGTCTAAGTTTCTCAAGCATCTGGCGAGTGGTAGTAGGCGAAAGCCGGCAATACTTCAAGAAATAGCTGTCAAAAGAGTAACTACATATGCAGCCTTGGGATATTGGTTTTGTGGCACGTATCCGATTTCAATACCTCAGATTAACAACCAAATCCCAATTATATCCTCACTTTTCGAAACATATTCCTAATCCTAACACCCGGTCCTTACACATAAGAATAACAAAAACAGAGGACAATATCTATGTAGACATGTATGGCTTTCAATAACCCGGAAGGAACCCCGAACTCCCTCACAAAGCCTCAATCGCCTTCCTCAGCACCTCCAAACTGCGATCACTCACCTCCTGAGCACCCTCCTCACTCTCAGCCATCGTGTCCCTCAACGCCCAAGCAACATCACTCCACCACCCCATCCCCACCAATCCACCTCCCTTTCTCCTCTCCAAGCTCTCCTTCAACCGACTCGTATGCTCCCATTGCTTAGCAGCCACCTCTGCCCGCTCAATAACCTTGTCCGGAATACCACACATCGCCGCACAATGCATACCGAAACTGCCCTCCGCAACACCATCTTCAAGCTTATACAAGAACGTGACGCGGCGTTCCTCATCGTCGACGTGGATCCGCATACGCTTTGGTGCGATTTCAGGATGTCCCTCGAACTCAGCAGCAAGGGAGTGGTAGTGGGTCGCGAAGAAGCCGAGAGCACCGATGTGTGTGGCAACATGGTGCAGGACGGCTTGGGCGACGGCCACACCGTCGTAGGAGCTGGTACCGCGGCCCAATTCATCGAGAATGACGAGCGAGCGGGGTGTGGCTTCAGAGAGAATCTTCTTGGTCTCGGAGAGCTCAACGAAGAAGGTCGACTGGGCGGCGAAGATATTGTCATTCGCGCCTAGACGGGACATGATTCGGTCCACTGGGGTGAGGCGCGCGGATTGGCAGGGGAGATAGCAACCTATTTGAGCCATGATTACGGCGACGCAGGTCTACAATTTTCAGGGTTAGTCTAGGTCTTCTAAAAAAGCTATTGAGGGAAAGGGCTTGCTCACCATTCGGAGGACAGTGGATTTTCCGGCTGCGTTGGCTCCGGTGAGGAGGTCAATGTTCGCATGTGTGCCTCCGAGCTGGACGTCGTTAGGGATGAAGTCGCCCACTGAGGAGATCAGGCACGGATGGCGCAACTCCTCGAACTCGAGAACACTTCGTTCGTCGTCCACGAAGATGGGCCGGCAGCTGGGCTGGCCGAGGGAGGATGAGGCCTTGGCTAAACTGATGAGACAGTCAAGCTGGGCTACAATGCGGACGGCAGCAAGCCAGGTGGTGTAATTTTCGTCAAATCGTGCATAGAATCGGCCAGCGACTTCCTTGACGATCTGACCGTGTGTTTCTTGGGCCTCCTGCAACTGGCGGATGAGCTTGCGCAGCTCCGGGAAGTAGTAGCGCTTGACTTGTTTCGTAGCAGACATTTGGTCCCAGTTCTTTGGGATGTTCTTGACTTTAATCGGCACCTCTAATTGGTAGATCTCTTTGCCATTGTCCTTGTAGATAATAGCGGAAGATCCTAGCTCTTTGCGTACACGCTTCAGGAGGCTCTCAAGGTCGCGGTGGATTTGCTCAATGTTCTCCTGGGAGCTGTCAAAGTCTTCCTCAACGCCGGGCTTCGGTACCAAGATTCCGTTCTCTCTCGCCTTGGAACGATCAAAAGCAGTCTTCCAGTACTCGAGCAGGTCGTTCAGGTCAGGCATTCCGCTGATCAACTGCCCAATGACACCTTCTCCTGCTGAGCCACTTTCCTTGAGCAGACTCATGGTGTACTCAATCTGCTCAAAGCCTTCCAGAACGCGCAAGAAGTCTTGGGCCTTGCAGTTCGCAGCATGGACGCGGGAGATGAGTCGCTCCAGGTCAGGCATTTTGGTCAGTTGGGACGAGAATTGGTCCCGGACAGTGGGATCAGCATTGAGGGCATCCACCGCATCCAAGCGAGCATTGATCTTATTTGCATCCACAAGCGGGTGGCATACCCACTGCTTGAACATCCGCTTACCAAAAGGTGTGATACAGCGGTTCAAAAGCTGGAACAAGGTGCCCTCAGAGCCGCCATCGAAAGAGTTGGAGAATATCTCCATGTTGATAAGAGTTTGACCATCCAGCACCAGGCTGGTGGCCTTCTTGATCGGGTCGTACGCAGTGAAGTTACCAATGGTGATCAAGTCACGGTCGATCTTCAGGAGTCTGAGGTACTGCACCAAAGCACCGAATGCAGACATGACTAATTCTTTGTCGCGGGCTTCTCGAAGTGCCTCTGGCCAAGCTTGCAAGTTATCATCGTCCTGTGAGACAAAATACTCGCTCGCATCGAGCTCCTTCACTGTAATGTCAGCCTCCCAGAACTCTTTCACTGGCTTCAAGTAGTTCCAGAGCGTAGTTGGACCAGTGTTGTTTTTCAAGATGCGCAAAGCCTTCTGAGACACTGCGGACTTTTCCAGAAGAAGCTCTTGTGGGCGGGTTTGCGCGACAAACGTTTCGAACTTTGTCATGTCAACATCGTCCACAAATTCGGACAGGAAAAATTGGCCGGTTGCTGTGTCGACAAAAGCGATACCAAAGGCAGGCTTGTCATCAATTAGAGCCTCTTTGATAGCAACACAGTACGTAGACATGTCATCCTGTAGCATGGAGCCTTCCACAAGGGTACCAGCAGTGAGAACTGACGACAATTCTCTTCTAATGACTTTGTCTTCTTTACCTCCGCCCTTCTTACCATCACGTTCACGCATCTCCTTGCCCAAGGCTGACTCAATTTGGTCAACACGAGCGATCTTGAACCCCTTGGCCACGAATTGGTTGGCCCAGTGATCCAAACTCATCTCGGGAACACCAACCATGCGCATGTTCACGCGATCAGTAAGCTTCAGATCGAACAACTGATGTCCAACGGTAGCATCATTCTCATAGAGCTCGTAGAACTTGCCCTTCTTGAAGAAGACAACAGTATCCCAGAATTTCTGCTTGATCTCCCAGTATTGCTTCTCGAATGGAGAGAACTTGGTCCAAGCCAATGGTGGGATATACAGAGTGCGAGGGTCATACTCAGGGTGGCCGATAGGATGCCCGTCAATGTCTCGGATATTTGCAAGCCAGGCATACCGTTGTTCAGGCTCCGTGACATGTGCTTTCTGCTTCGTAGTTCCCATTGGTTTCTTTGGAGTAACCGGTGCTGTGCGCGGCTGACGTGGCTCGGAGCTTTCTGGGTCGTACGTCCACTTGAGAGCTGTACCAGCAGATGCGTCTGGTATGTCCAGGTCCAAGTCCTCATCAGGTGATACAGGTGGTAAAGAGGAGTACTTGGTTTTCGGTTGGGTTGACGGTCTCTTGCGCTTCTTGGATGGTTTCGCTTCTTCGTCCGAATCGTCTGCAACAATGAAGTCGTCCATTTCTAAAACCAATCAGAATCGCTTGTAAAGAAGTGGGAACGAAAACTCACCATCATCGGAGTAGCCCACATCTCCGCCATCGTTGAACTCATCATCACTTTCAGGAGACATCTTCCTTCGCTTGCTCCTGCTGTTGCGACTGGGGCGGAATATCTTCTCGTCGTCATCTTCGCCTTCGGAGTCGGATTCGACGTAATTGACCTGCTTCTTGGCCTGGAAGGATAAGTTGTCAGTACATTTGAACTAAATAAATGCCAAGGTTCAGGTCCTTACCCGTCGCGATGGGGATGCCGTCTTCATCTCGGCTTTGCCATTCGGACTCTCCTGCAGCATCATGTGTTAGTTGTCAATACCGATAACACACCGCTGTCTGCAAATCGCACCTGTGCATTATCATCCTGCTCATCCTCTTCCGGAATCACTAGGTCACTACTAGGCACCGGCTCCAATTCCTGCTTGAACTTGGGAACGCTCTTCTTCCGTTCCGCCGCGCCCTTGGCACCTCCGCGTCGCTGCTCTGAGATCCTCTCCGCCGGAGAAGAAGCAGGCTCCGCATTACGAGCAGTGGACGGTGTGGATGGAGACGACTTCTGAAAGAATCCAAGAATTGACTTTTGGTTTTTCATGTTTTGGGTGCTGGACGTGGAACGTTTCAAAGCTCCGGTGGGCGGCGTCGCAGTCGTGGGAGAGGAGGCGGCGGCGGTTCCTCTAGCCATTATGGGGTATATTGTTATATATCTGTGGTAAGGTTGATGGTAGTTTATATCATGCTTTATAATGAAAAAAACAGGCCCATTGAATGGGTCAATGGATTTTAGAAATAGTGGACGGAGGGGATGGATATCGGACAGGGTGAATCTGTGCTGGACAGTCCCTGGGGAGCGCAGCGAGAAACGGGTGTCACGCGTCGACGCGTTAAGTGGATTTCTGCCGCCGCCTTCTGCTTCGAGACTGACAGCCCGGGTGCCTCTCACCCAATGGAAACCCGGTGGAGATCGGAGTATGGGGTAAACCGGAAGTTTAAATTTGATACATCAACTGGACGTGTGGTAGCATGGAAAGAGCGTTCAAAAACTACTTGCAAATAGAAAAGGAAATCAGCAAAAAGGCCTGCATGACCAGTCAACACCGCCACTGCCTGGCAGCTGGACACACTATAGCACAAGAGAGTCAGGCCCTTTTTGGCTACACCACGCTGAGATAGAAATGTCGATCATCAGGTACAATTGGCATACATGGTATATATACATGTCTAAAAATACAATGAGGAGTGTATGATCAAGTCAGAGCCTTTCAAGCTCAGCCAGAGGGCCATTAATTGCTGTTGCCGGTTTCCGGCGCTTCCGTCTCCCACCCAGGCGCAGTGTATCCAGCCGCCTTGAATTCTTCATCGCTGACAATGGTCACGATCTTAAACTTCCACTTGCCCATCTTCAAGAAGAGTTTATCTCCAATGACGAACTCCTCTGTCTTCGCTGCGGGCCAGACCTTAATGGGAGTGAACGCAAGGTCGTCACTCATTTGCCCGCTATCTCCCGGACGACTACCGACATAAGCACCCCGGTTCTCAATTGCACGATGGCCTTCACTCTTGGAAGCAACCAGCCCTGCGGACCAGAGAACTTTGTTGAGCGTCTGATTGTACACTAGAGACCGGGGAAGGGTGATGTTGACTTGGGGCATGTTTGCAAAGTTGGTCTGGGGGGCATATGGGTTTCCAGATTCTGGAGTAACAAAGCCGGCCGTTGGTGACTGGGGGCTACCACCGGTCGCGGGTTTCCGGGGTAGGGGGCTTGGTTCTGCTGTAGATAACCGTGGACGGAAAAGCTGACGATGTTGGAGAGCGACCGCATCAGCCTCCGTTTTGCCATGGATCAGCTCGACAAACTCCGAAGCAAGAGCATGCTGGGCCACGCGCTTAGATGGGTCTTTGTTTTGCTCCTCCATAATCTTAGCGATTTCGGGCAGCGGCAAAAAGGTGAACATCTTCAGGTAGCGCTCGACAACATCATCCGGTGTGCGAACGAAGAACTGCCATCCATCAGTTGGGCCATGCTAGTTGTTGTGGTGATGCTTCATACCTGGTATAACTCGAAAGTAGAGGTCATGTCTTTGTCGAGCCAGACCGCGTTCCCAGCAGACTTGCCAAACTTTTCGCCAGACGGAGCCGTCAGCAAGGGAGTTGTGATACCAATAGGCCTATCGAGTTCGTTTTTAAAGTCGAGTCGTTCCTCAGGTTCGGTCTGGTTCTTGCCGATCGACTTCACAGCGTCCATGCCAAAGAGAATATTCCCGTATTGGTCCGAGCCGCCAACCTGAACCTGAACACCCTTCTTAAAGAGTACCCACCAGTCCCATGCCTGCATTAGGGGGTAAGTAAACTCGGCAAAGGACATTCCATCTCCCTTGGACAGCCGGTTTTTGACCCTATGTTCGTGTGAGCGTCACCCTGGCGAATGTTGGGGCAAGAGTGAACTTACGTATCCCGGCCCATCATAGGTCCGAGGCGGGTATGAACGCCCAGGTCTCGAAGCAATTCTATGACAGGCATCGAATTCCACCAGGTGTTGTTGTTGACAAGGGCACGCCGCCAGTACTTATTGGTGTAGCCATGTCTTCGGCCATACACATCAATGCTGTGGCCCAGCTTCTTGAGTTGCATATGCATGCTCGCCATGTTGGCTTTCCGAACGGATGAGTGAACTTGATCCCGGCTTTTCAGTCGTCCTGTGGGATCACCGAAGCGAGCGGTAGCGCCACCAAGCTGCGAGATATTAGCCAGGCTCAGTTATTGCCCATCCATGCGCATATGACTGACCAGAAATGTGACCGGCAAGCCCCAGACGTAGCCCCAAGCCAAGATCATAAAAGGCAGCATATGACCAACGTGTAAAGACGGGGCGGTAGGATCCACGCCAGCGTACATGCCAACTCGCCTTTGCGTGAAGAGACGGTCTAACGTTTCTCGTTCTCTGCATTTGGTGATAGGGTCCAGTTAGCCAACCACCATCATTTTCAGTTTATAGATGTGTACTACTTCGAAATCACCTACCCAACAACATCGTGCAGAAGTCCCCGCTCCTCGAGGTGTTGTGCAAAGCTCTTCCTCTTTCCTGCTTCAATCTCGTCCGCAAAGTCACTCCATTCCTTTTTGGCCTCCAGCTGTTTCTGCACATACTTCCGCGAGATCCAACGTCTTTGATCCGATGCAATTTGGAAGGCTGGGCATCTAAGCATAGGGCGAATGCTGCTGGAGGGCGACTGGTTCATCTGCAACGCTTCTGCGGTCCGCGCATAGTTGCGAGCGCCGCATAATGTTTTCTGTGGTAAAGTCTTCGGTACATGAAGGCGTACCGCGCGCGGCAGGGCCCCTGTGCATGGCCTCATGATACCAGATAGCAGACAAGTCAACCAATGGCTGCTTGTGACTGACTGGCTATGGTATTGCGCGAGAATGGCAGATCACTGAACTGGAAAATTACCTCCGATAAGCCGATCAGTTGCGCCGCGACGGAGAATTGTTGACGCGGAGCTCATTGCCCCCTACCGCTGTATACACCGCCTAGATTGGCAGAACCTCGCCCGAAATACCCGGAGCTAAGCGGAGTTAAGCAATACGCTCCTGCAATTATTGTCGACACATCTTAATCTCTTACCTTTCTGGCCTCTCCTGCAACTTATCTTCTAGCTTTGCCTTTGTCTCAACTAGGGCAGTTACTTATACGCTGTCATATACTGCTCCAGCGCAAGTGATCACGAGCATATTTCATAATGCACTGGCATTCCGATATATATTTTGACAGCTACTAGATCACCCATCACTAAAAAACTATCAGACCTCACAACTCTACAGCACCAGGGCTACTTAGAAGGCCTGAGGACGTCATCATGAATTGTTACATGATATGCTTATTCTCCCAAAATCGTGTGATACCCAACACTTAGATCTCGTCAAGCCAGTATGCAGCAGAGTGTTTCCAGGAAGCTTGCCCCGAAAAGTATTAGCTGCAGGTCCAAAATGCGGGGAACCGAAAAGCCGAAGGACCAAAGCGCATGGGAATCACCTCGGCCGAGTTCGGGCGAGCTCACCCGGCCAGGATATAACCTTCTGTGATCGCTAAATTCTCTCTTATGGCATAAAGGATTGTGGCACCTGGCCGGTTACTTTCCAAATGTCAACTGTGTAGTTGTCACATGTGTCTAGCCATGCCGCAACCTACGCGACAGACCCAGCGAGTCCCCCGAACATGCATGCAATGTGCTCGGAGAAAGATCAGATGCTCCAAGAGAATACCATGCGAAGAGTGCATCCGCCGCGGTGATACTGTTGCCTGCAAGCGCGAGATTGTCAGGGTCCATGGCAAGGTCACCGTGTGAGCCCACCGCATTGTTTTTTGTCTCAGGCCCAATCGCTGCATGGTCCAGTAAACTGATATTATGCAAAACATAGTGCAGTAGACGAGGAGACACGAATCGATGATTCAGACGCAGAATCGAACCTTGTGCGAGAGAACACCAGTCTCAAAACTCGCATTAGGCAGCTAGAATCCGTACTCTCTCGGCCTGAAACGCTGAAACTTGAGGCGGATATCTTCCGGCTATCTCCTGCTGCAGGAAATCCGCAATCGTCGGACAAGATTCTGAACGATTTTCAGAGTCTACCGTTTGGACTTTTGGTGGAAGCGTCACAGGTCCCCCGGAGCACAATTCATCCAAGGGACGACCACTTACTACTTGTATTACCAGATCGGCATTGGAGCGAAATGATTGTGCGGTTCTCTCTGGATCATTTCGGATGGGTTCATTGCGCTCTAGATGCTTCAGGATTTATGGTTGACCATTCTTCGTTCTGGGACCGCCTAAGCCACAGCAGATTAGACAGCCCAAGGAACAATGCCTGGATTGCGGTGTATCTTAGTGTGTTGGCCGTAAGTTCCCGTCAGGCTAGAGGAAGCTCAAGGCTCATTTTTTTCGATAGACAGGAGTATATTTTATGGGAGAGGACAATATTTGCAAGATCCGCTTTCTCCAAGAGTCACTCCCTTCTTACAAGCCATCGCTCCTAAGCAGAGTACCCACGGAGCTATGCCGTACCTGGTGCGAAGCCGCTCTGAAGGAGCTCAACTATGCCAACTACTTGAGCAAGCCCAGTATTCGGACTGTACAGACACTGGTGATTTTGAATATCGTACACAAGAATCTTGGCGAGTCATGTCGCGAATATACTCTACACGGTCTTGCGGTCAATATTGCCCGCTTGATTGGAATTGATCGTCTCGGAGGCCGTCACGAGCGACAAAATACCTCGCCAGTAAAAGACACAGGGCTCATTCGGAAAGATGAAAACGTTTACCGCAGGCTTTGGTGGACCTTGGTGATCTGTGACTGGTACGTCGTCTGCTCATTTTGTGTTGGATTTCACTAAGCTAAGCTCAGGATGACTGTATGGTCGCGTCCAATTTCCATACACCCGGACTCCTTCACAACCGTGCTAGAAACAGAAGATAACAAGGAAATTTCTCCCACTTTAGCTGGTGGCGAGAAAGTCCCATCCCCATATGAGTACCATAAAGCAATGGCCCAGCTCGCCGCCACCATGCAGAATCACGCCAGATCCATTAAAGAATGGACGACGGCGACTGTTCAAGCCTCCTTTGAGGAGCTCGACGCTGTAACTTCTTCTTTTCCACCACATCTCTCCTACCCTGGAACCGATGAACCCATGCTTCAAATCGAACAAGGGTTTGAATGGATCTATGTTCAACGCTACCTCATCTTCAATTGCTTGGACTGCTGGCACATGAACCTTTGCGTTGCTCTAATACCTCTATTACTCAGCAGCCCCTCTAGTACAGAGAGTGATGTGCAGCAGAGCGGCATTTCATGCGCGAAAGCGACTCTGTCTCGGCGATACCATGATCCATGTCCCCATTTCCATAAGTTCTGGGCAACAACATGCTCCACTGTCACGGCTGCTATATTTCTGGCTCTGGATCTAATATGTTTTCGCCAGCACCGATCATCTGCTGAAGTGGCCGAAGAAAAGGCTTTGATATTGTTCGGCATCTACCTCCTGGAACGAACATGTACAGATACACGACACGACGCCTTAGTTGTTCTGCGCCGCCTTGTTGAGCTATCTGACGTTATACGATCGAGACAAATTATCGACCAGAGGGTGTTCGTCCGGCTCATGAAGCTTGTCGCTTCTCCCAAACTATGGGCTTCATTTCCCGACACAGAGGTCACGTTGAGGTTTCTTTTTGCGGACCCGTCGTCGACCGGAGAGGCGAGCAAGCCGGTATTAGACAATGACGAGCAGATGCATAGCGCGGATCCTAGTCCCGCTACGTATGGAGATACACTACCGCACACTCTGAGTCGGTTTGCGACAATGGCTGGTGAAGCAGGAGAGGAATTCCCACTCGCAGATAATCTCTTTTCTTCCGAGCTCATCGACATGTCGCTCCCCTGGCTGGACCCTGGGTGTCTAATGACATTTCCAAGTGAGGTGTCCCTCTAATAGAAGTGCCATATACTTATTGTCTCTTTACTTCCACCAATATACCTGGGCTTATGTATAGCATCCAGTCTCAAAGTCACATCATATAGCTAGATCAGACCAACCAAGATTAACAAAACAATACTACACAACCCAATCAAAACTCCGCAGTCCTTCCATCAACCGCATATTTCATCGTAACCCTCCTAATCCACCATCCAAAGATGAAAATCGGAATCCCCAGCGCAGACACAACACCGGCAATAATCGCACAAATATCAAAAGCACCCTGAAACCCCTGCTCGGTGATAAACTTCGTAACCCCAAACGAAATTCCAAACGAGATAAACCCACGGATGGCGCAAATCAGAACCAGAATCGGCGCCGCCCGCTCCGCGTAACTGTCCAGAGAATAAGTATACCCATTGAGGATAATTCCAATGTAGGCGAAATATAACCCGCTGAAGGTAGTGGTGATAGCCCAGGGTGACCACTCCGTCGGATGAGATGCAGCACGGCCAAAGATTACACATGAGATAAGCAGGACGATAATAGGCAGCAGCATAGGGATAAGTCGAACTTCAGACTCAACGGTTCCATTCTCTCGACGCCTTGCGACCAATTTGTATAGCTGATCGCCGCCGTAGCCGAGCACGGGAACCATTATCATTGCGACCACGATTTGTCCACCCTGGACTAGGCCTAGGCTTGTGGTTGGGTAGTTGTATGGAGGGGCGCCGAGGACAGAGGCGTACTCTGTCACTCCGATGACGTAGATTCCGAGGGAGACGCTGTTCATGAGGACTACCCAGAGGATGTTGGGGAAGAGGATGCATTGGCCCATTTGTTTGTAACATGTTAGGGCTTCTTTCCAGTTTGCTGGTGGGTGCATGATGGCTAGAGTATGCTTCCAGGTGCGTGCTTTGTAGTTGGTAAAGTCTAGCGGAACGCGGTTCTTGGTGGTTGCGTGAACGATGACTTGTTCTTCGCCGTCGTGGTGGACGTGCACTTCCCCTTCGAAAGCATCGGTGGGTCGGTCGTAGCGGGATTCAGGCACGAGGGTAAATGCGCTGATGAAGACTAGTCCACTGGCGATGGAGAATACCCCGTACCACCATCTCCAGCCGAGGCTGCTTACTAGGTAGGATGTCGCGATGGTGAGGGCGGCTGTGCCGATGGATTGGATCGCACTGAACCAGGCGAGGCGGCTGCTGCGTTCGTGGACGAAGTGGATTTCCTGGATAGCTTTGGTTAGGGTCTCCAGCTTGTGAAGTGTAAGGTGTAAGGGGTCGGTAATGGGGATGTACCTGGATAATAAGCGGACATAATGCCTCCGACTGCCCTGCTGCCAATGACAACACATCTCTGCCCGCTATATGCGATCCAAGACTCGTGCTCGCAGCACACCAGATTGATCCCACGGTTAGGACCAATGCAGATGCCAGGAATACTGGGCGTCTGCCGATTGCCATGGCGAGTGGCATAGCGATGACATTACCGATCCCCATGAAGAGGGTTGGGTAGGTCATTAGATCGTCGGTGTGGGGGTTGTAGTCGTAGTAGGATTGCATTAAGGTGACGAAGGGTCCCATTCCGGAGGTCATCAGGACGCCCAAGACGGAGACTGATATGATTGATTGTGTTAGATGGTCTCTTGGTTTGTGCGAGAGATGAGGAATGGAGGCGTACACAATCCCAGCACGAACGTGATTACCCATTTTTGCCATTGAGGGTAGTTCAAGGGGTCTGCACCACTCTTCATCAGCTATATGATCTTTTAGAACAGATTGTGAAGGAAGTCAAACCTCTTGGATCTGGAGACGGCGTCGGAATCAACACTATTTCCCCATCCTCGACTAGTTTCACTGTGCCGGTTGGGTTACTGCCTTTGCAATGACGCTTTTGGGATTTATCCACAGCAAGTTCATGATGCGTTGCGTCGATGACCTTGTCATCCATATTGAGATGTGCAGACATTTGTCTTGTGCGTGTAGGAGCTGTGTCCTACCACAGTTTATCAATGAAAGACCAGGGAGGAATGGACTAAGGACCGCTTCCTTCCGGCCTTGATATGCTGTCCATCCTGACGCTATCCATTTCCCCATGGGGTAAAACTTGTCTTCGTAATGGAGTCTAGTTCATTAGCCACATCGTGTCCGAGCGTGGAGTTGGCGTGAGAACGTGGAGCCGAAAGTATGTTTTGATGGAAGGTAATGGTGAAGAAGTGAGGGAACCAGCGAGATGGGAGAATCTCGCCCGAGCTCACCCGGGCGGAGGTGCGCGTGCCGCACGACGGCAATGGATGATGTTGCCGTAACCGAATCGCGAATATTGATCACATTGATAGCTCGTAGGTGTTAGGTGTAACTGATGGGTTGGATATGGGTTGTTTTAGGTCGTGGAGAGGTTTGTGTGGTGCTACAGCTGGGTGTATATGCAGTGTTCTGCATAGTGGATACTTGTCTCGCATCAGATGGCTTACGATATCATCATAGTGCATTCATAACAAGAGGAGTGAAATTGTAAGATAACTAATAAATACAAGCTACTAGTATGGCTTCACACCTGCCAACTGCAACAACCTCTCACTTCTCACCGGCTTGGTAAGAGGTTCGTCCCTCTCCAACGGATCCACTACTTCCTCCCCATCCACCTTCACCATCGCCTTCCCATGTGTATACAAGTTAGTATGCGGCCAGTGTGTAGTTGTCTCATATCCCTCGAACAATTCCTTCTTCTTCTCCCGATCCTCCTCGCTCATCCATGCCGCCGGCGTATACGTAGCATAGACAATAGTCCGCACTACATCTGAGCTCCCGAACTGAGCCCAGTGCATCTGTCTCGAGTCCCAGAGAATCAAGTCTCCAGGTTCAGCGCAGACCTTGATCAATTCGCATCCGTGCTCGCGGTACCAGTCCAAATCCTTGTCAGAGAAGGGGTGGAAATCCTTATGTTTGGCGGTGCGCCAGGGGGTGGGACCAGTGACGGGGTTCTCTTCGAAGAATTGGTCAAAGAGCGGTGCAGAACCCTTCATTACAATGAGCCCACCGTCGTCGGGGCCCGCGTTGGACAGGTTGACGAGGCCCTGAACACAGACCAGACCTTTGCGCTCGGGCGCTTGGTCGCAGTGTGGCCAGGGCTGGGAGTCGTAGGTGCCTACGATGGATTGAGGGAGAGTAATGTTCACCGTGTCGAAGGACACGACAAGTTCGTCGGTACCCCAAAGCTTAGCGAAGGGAGCAATCACACCAGGCTCACTGTAGTTGTCGTTTAGCCAGATGGATCCCTACCAAGAGGAGGAATGAGAGTGGCGACTTACCATCGGACGTCCCAGACATATTTCTCGTGCGCAGCTGAGAAGTGCAGGTACATGCCGCCCTTCCAGCTCTGTGGGAGGTTTTCCTTCTTCCAGGTGGACTTGTCGTTGCGGTCAAAGCCAAGCCCGAATGATTCAAGCCAGGTCAGGGCTTCGCTCTGGTATTCGCTAGCGCGCTCCTTGCTCAGCACGCCTTTGATGACAGCGTAACCGTCACGAAAGAAGTCGTCACGGAAGTCACCATAGTGAGGCTGCTGTGTCTGGATGGACTGAAGCTTTCCCGGGGCAGGGGATGAGATGGGCTCCGGACTATCGACACGGGAGGGTGCCATGTTTAGAGCTCTTTAACTCGTTATGTGTTGACTTTAAGATATGAAGTATAGACTCCTCTGAAGGAAGGAAGAAACCGCACTTTGAGATTGAATAGTCTCGGTGACGTCGAGGGCTTCGGCGGCCAGAGGAGCCTTCGCGCGCTTTTATCCTCCGACTGGACCTTCAGCTAGGTTAATTGACCCGAAGTTATCCCTTACACACGGCCGAGCCCATCCTCATCCGAGATATAAAACGCCACTCCCATGGCCGAGTCACTGTAGCCGAACTCATAAGTTGCCGAATGGTCAGCAGGTTCGAAACGAACATACAAACTCGCCCGAGCTCGGCCGTGCTGGGGTATAGCCGCAACAACAGACCCAACAACGCGCCATGTCCACAACCCGACAACCTGAGAGAAAAGCAAAAGCCAATGTTGATTTGTAACTTCACGCTTAATATTCAGTGAAGACACTTAGTGGGGGGCGCGTGGCATTGCTTATAAGGAGCTCTGAAACTCTGACATTGTCGTCTACACTGCAATCAATACTTTTCAATATGCCTTCTCCGGTACCTGTTGCGACTCGTCCTATTGACAAGCCCACCGTGGGCAGAAACAACTATCAGCCGTTTGGGTTTCGTGAAGAAGTTCTACCCAAGGGCTGGAACAAAGATGGCTCACGTCCCTTGCCATGCGACATTCATGCGTCCCACGACGTGGGTATCCAGGTTCGCGATGGAAGCACATTATATTGCGACATCTATCGTCCTACAGACACCACCAGGCCTGTGCCGGCCATCTTAGCATGGAGCCCCTTTGGGAAGAAGTTCAATGGAATTAGCATGTTGAAGTTCCTCCCCTGGGGTCTGGGGATCCCGCAAGGCGTACTCAGCGGCCTGGAGAAATTCGAAGGCCCTGATCCAGCTGAGTTCGTGCCTCGCGGCTTTGCAATCATCAACGTTGATGCTCGTGGATCTGGCGATTCAGATGGCACGGTGGGGATTATGGGCACCCAGGAAGCCGAAGATGGCTACGACGTGATTGAGGCCGTGGCTAAAATGCCCTGGTGTAATGGAAACGTGGGCCTGGCAGGAAACTCACACTTGGCCATCGTCCAGTGGTTTATCGCTGCGTTGCAACCGCCATCACTCAAGGCCATTGCTCCATGGGAGGCATGCGGTGATCTCTATCGTGAGCAATTCGTACGAGGGGGAGTCTTCGATGCTGGTTTGTTTGATTTTATCATCGATCAAAACATCCAGGGTCACGGGGGAGTGGAAGACTTTCACGAGATGTATCGACGATATCCATATGCGAACAGTGCATACTGGAAAGATAAACGACCAGATCTCAGCCAAATCAGCATACCCGCTTACATTACAGCCTCGTACACCAGTTTTGTGCACACAATGGGATCACTGCGCGGATGGCTCCAGGCTCAATCATCCGATGAATGGCTGCGACTCTGTCCATGGCAGGAGTGGTATGATATCTGGAATTGCAAAGAATCTGCTTCTGAGCTCGCATCCTTTTTCGATCGCTATCTGAATGGCACCGACAATGGATGGAAAAAGACACCCAGGGTGCGGACTACCATTCTGCGATTCAATCAAGACCCGCTATACAACATCGCAGAGGAGGACTACCCGATTCCACGCACCGAGTATCGCAAGATGTACTTTCACCCTGAAGGTCATCTCAGTCACGACGCTCCCAGCACGGCTTCATCGGTGTCCTACAGCTCAGAGAAATACCAAGACTGTGCGAGCTTCACTCACACTTTCACCAGTCGAACGAGGTTGGCGGGTATTCCCAAAGCAGTGGTGTACATGTCGTGTCCAGACTTTCATGACCTGGACGTGTATGTCCTGATCAGGAAGCTTGACGCGCAAGGAAAGGCTCTGCTCAATCTCAACATTCCGTGGTCATCAATAGCGAAATTTGGTGTTAGCCCAGACAGTGTTGACAGCATTTCTCCTCGGGAGAAGAACAATCTCATGTTCCATGTCGGGTCCTTGGGGATCTTGCGGGCTTCACGTCGAGCCATTGATCCGACCAAGTCAATTCATGAGAACTTCCCCTTTCATCCACATGACCGCGACGAGTACATCACTCCTGGAGATATTGTGAAGCTCGAGATCGGCATATGGGCGATGGGAGTGGAGTATGAGGCAGGGGAAAGCGTACGCGTCGAGGTGCATGGAAACAGTCCATTGCTGCGGGGAGAGTTCAAGGAAGATGGGGAATTCCAGGAACTGGCATCACATGGAACACACGTGCTTCACTTAGGAGGCGAACATTCTTCGCATATTGTTCTGCCATTTGTATGACCGAGCATGATGCATCTACTACAGTAACATAGACATATAAGCTAGCTTGCAGATAACCAGGCTACTATCAAGCATAGATTGTTGAAAAGACATTATTGAATTTGATTGTTCCGTAACTAAACATGGCCTGGGACGATGCAGTAGAGCCCAGTCATAGGCGCCATCAGCACCAGTAAGGGTCATAAAGCACCGCCTCTCCTCCAGGTATAACACCACCAAGTAATGTGTGAATCAGAGATGCCTTAATCGCGTCCGTTAAGTAACAAGGTTGGTGTGCCGAACGCCTATTTCATCCCACTCTCAACCAGAACCCATCAGCCCTTTAGCCCCGAAAGGAGAGCCAGAAGGGCTCCAGGAAGAGAGATGGGTTCATATAGAACACACTAGGCTTTCATCATCTGGAGTCTCATGTTAGTAAAAGGCATATTGGGAGTCAAAAGTCAAAGGTAGCACTCACTTTTACAAAACTTGGAAGGATGAAGAGAGAAGAAATGACGGCGCCGGAAATTTTGCTTTTAATTGGCAGTGTGGAGGGCGCTAGACCCGTCATAGAAGGCGGCGTACCATATTTTGCCCAGGATCTCCGCCCGGCGGTGCCTGGCAATTTCCCAATTGCCCAATTAGTTACTCGGCCATTCAAATGCATCGTGCCATTGTATCCCCGCCCCAGGACGGTTGGAGATTTTGTGCCTGTCCTCTTCTGCGCCCTTTGTTATCTTAAGTGCTGGCTTGCGCAGCAAGATGTATCTCGCCAGGGCGGTCCGATGCCCCCCTCACCTCCGCGCGACCTACGTGGAGATCTCCAACTACTTCCGCGGCAGGCAAGTTGGTCGCCTTCCAGCATTGCAAGCTCACAGCTCCCCTGTGCGATCATTCCATGAATTCAGCGAAAAGCACCGCTCCAATGTGACCTCGTCGGAGTTCTTAGATAAGTTCAAGCAGTCGAGTTCGTCACCCTGCCGATCAATGCAATCCCTCCAGCATTTCCAGCTCATACAAGCAAGTTGCAATCGGGAAATGCTAACATCCCGCCTTCAAAGTGGAATTCCCCCAAACGCCCTTGGACATCGACACTCTGTATTCTCATGATCATGAAGGCCAATCCGTACTCCTCCATGGCTACCTGGACAAGCGCGATGACATGGGGAAAGAGCTCTCGTTCGCCCGCTTCTACGATCACACAATGGGTCGTACCATACAGCTTCTCTCAAACTCACAAAGCAATACTCTGCCTCAGCTCAAGAAGATTAGCCGGGGTAGTCCAGTGGTTGTTCGAGGGACAGTTAAGCGGAGGGTTACAAAGACTGCCGAAGAGGAGCGCACCGATTACTTGGAGATCGCGCTGGAATCTATTCAACCCCTAAACGAGTTTCCCCGTGAGATTGTGCTATTTGGAAAGAACATCGTTCATCCCCCTAAGCATCGCCACCTTCAGCTGCGAAGCGATAAAGAGCTGCGTGATGCTCTCCGGTTCCGTGCGCAAGCGCGCAATGTCTGCCGGGAGACATTGGAACAGCTGAAGCCAGCCTTTGTTGAGATAGAGACACCTTTGCTGTTCAAGTCGACTCCAGAGGGTGCTCGTGAGTTCATTGTGCCGACCAGAAAGAAGGGAAAAGCCTACGCTCTTCCTCAGAGTCCGCAGCAATACAAGCAGATTCTTATGGCCAGTGGAATCCCGAGATACTTCCAGTTCGCGCGCTGCTTCCGTGACGAAGACCTCCGCGCCGATAGACAGCCGGAGTTTACCCAGGTATGGTCCTAATGAAACTATACAAGCCGCCTGCTCACTGAAACCCCTAGCTGGATCTGGAAATGGCATTCGCTGCTGGACAAGATGTCATGGCCGTTGTTGAGGAACTTATCCGGGGTCTGTGGGGGAACATGATGCCTAAACCAGTCCCTTCAGGCCCATTCCGTCGCATGACCTACCAGGAGGCAATGACTCGGTATGGCTCGGACAAGCCGGACACCCGGCATAGAATGGAGATTCATCGTGTCGAGCACCTCCTACCTGCCGACCTTGTGTCGAAGATCACTCCCCTGACCGATCCGATTGTTGAAGCATTTAAGATGGATACCGTCGAGCAGCTACCGTCGGCAACTCGCGAATTTGTTTCACGTTTCTTCGACTCCACCGAGGGCGAGCCATTCAACAAAAATCCCGATGGTGCACCAGGAATCTTCATCTACGACGAAGGACAGCCTTTAAAGGGCCTGGGACCTCTCGGATTCGAAGCAGCCGAAAAGGTCCAAGAGATGCTTGATCTCAGTCACGGCGATCTGCTCATTCTTCAAGCTCGCCCACAGGCCCCCTTTGCAGGCGGCGCAACCCAACTTGGCAGCATCCGTCGCGCCATGGCCGCCGCCTCCATCGCTGAGGATCTCAGAGAGGCGCCCCCTGGCTTCGAATTCCTCTGGATAGTCGATTTCCCTCTTTTCAGCCCTACGGATGCCTCCGAACCCGGGCAAGGCGGTACTGCCGGCCTCTCCGCCACCCACCACCCCTTCACGGCCCCGAAGACCTCGTCGGACGTTGATCTCCTTAGCAAGGACCCGACTAAGGCCCTCGCAGACCACTACGACCTCGTTGTCAACGGCGTCGAACTCGGCGGCGGCAGTCGCCGTATCCATTGCGCCCTAACCCAGAACTACATCTTCAAGGAAATCCTCAAGATGCCGAAGGAGCGCATCGACGAGTTCCAGCATCTTCTTAATGCCTTATGGGCGGGATGTCCCCCGCACGCTGGGTTCGCGCTAGGCTTTGATCGCCTCATTACTGTCATGTTAGGCAAGGAGTCGGTTAGGGATGTCATTGCATTCCCGAAGATCGGGAAGAAGGGTGAGGATGCGATGGTGAAGGCGCCTGGTAAGATTAGTGAGGAGGTGGCGAGGTTGTATAATATCAAGTTGAAGTGATGATGTGGCAATGTATTGGGTGTATGTATTGTATAGATAACTCTTGTATGATAGATAGATTAACGGTTCTTCACTCTGTATCTATTATGTTTCTAGAATTCAGAGGTATAGAATGGTGATCACCCCGGGCTGACATACAACAGCAAATGTGTCTCTTAGATAAAAGAGAGGGGTGATGTAAATATAGAAAGGAAAATAGCCGAGCATGGACATATGGAGTTCGGAAAATAGTAATTCAAAGTAGTTGCTGTTATACAAAACGCCGACCAAAACGGGAATCTAATACATCCAGGAAATATATAGAAATCAGTGGTGAGAAGTGGGGAGTTCGCTATAGTCTCCCTTATTTTCTATATTTTTCTCTTTCTCATTCATTTGATTTCGGTCGAAACAGAAAGGCGGTCATACCGCACGAGTCGCCACTGACTTGGAGCGCGAGGCAGCCATAGCAGCACCAGTACCTTCCTCTTCCTCATCAACGTACACATACTCATCATCTAGCTCATCTGGCTGCCCGAAGATCTGACGCCATACACCATCCCAAAGACCCTTCTTAGTGACGAGACCACCCACCAGCAGAACTGGGAGCTGCCAGATACTGGCCCAGAAGAGACCTCTCGCCGTGCCGTTGGCGCCCTGGTGCTTCCAGAAATGGTACGCCTCCTTCACCAACCACGCATTGGCGACTGAACTGCTAACCAAGAATCCGTGGCCGACGACTCCGACCCACCAGAGGCCAATGGAGATGGGGAACATGAGGACGGAATAGCGCAGCGCAACGCGGGCGTTCATGGCGGGGTTCTTCCAGCAGAGCATCTTGTAGCCGGCGCGCTTGTACTCCTCGCGGATGGTATGAGACAAGGCGTTGAAGTGGGGAAATTGCCAGGCAAACAAGATACCGCCCAGCAGCCAACCACCAATGCTGTCTTGGCTGAAGAGCATGTCGCGCCAGGTATCGTGGCCCGTGGTAGCGGTTTGGCCGGCAGCAGCGACCCAGCCCATCAATGGGGGAATACCGCCTACGATGGCACCGACCCATGTGTTGATGACGTGAATACGCTTGAGCGGGGTGTATATGAAGCCGTATAGGATAATGTTGCTGGCTGAGAGGGCCGCGACGGTGGGGTTTGTGCCGAAGTAGAGCATGCCTACACCGGTGAGGGCTGTCGCGAGAGCAAAGAGTGCCGCAGCACGGCGGGAAAGGAGGCCGCGAACGAGAGGCCGGTTGCGGGTGCGCGACATGAGAGCATCGTACTTCGGCTCCAGAAACATGTTGATGGTGTTGGCGCTGCAGCTGGAGAGGAAGGTGCCCGCCGTCAGGTAGAGGAAGGTTAGGGTTGAGGTGGAGAGGGTCGGCAACGGGGTCATGGACGGGTCAAGCGTAAGGAGAGACGAGATCGGATACAGGCCATAGGCGGAGGTTGTGCTCAGCACGATGAGGACGGAGAGACGAGGCTTGCAGAGGGCGAGGAAAGCCGCCATCTTACGGCGGAGGGAAGAGGTGGGCTGGGCGGAAGAGAAGGCGGATAGCTGTGCGGAGGCATCGGGGGGAATGACATGTTCAGGATCGGCGGCTTGGGCATTCGCTTCTTCCTTTAAACGCTTCCTCCGGCGATGAGGGAGCTCTGGTTGTGTGGATTCAGGAGCAGACGTAGAGGCATTGACGCGGTGGTCTGATGGGAGAGTAGAGGATGTCGCGCTAGAAACATTGCCGCTAGAAAGCGAAGAGACAATGTCACTCTTGCTCGGAGTACCGTCTTCTGCGCGATTGGCCGAGAAATAAGTCTTATTCAAAGCCGACTGGGCAGATTGGCCGTCTGCAATGCCCGAGTGGGATCGAAAGGACGAAGTGAAGGTGCGGAGAGCGGCGGGGAAGGTTCGAGGGGTCCGATTTCGATGTAGAAGACATTGAGAGCATATCCTGCTAGGATCGCCTGGCGACCCTATCACCCGCAACGAGGAGCGAAGGAGACTCATGGCGGAGTCCTGCTGTGGTTCTGGTCGACCAAGAATCCGTATCCAAGCAGCGGAAGTTGAAGCTCAAGCCGCAAGACGAAGAAAAGCCACGGTGGGCGGGAGCGACCAAACCCGCAGTTCCGGAGATGCGTTGGTTCTTTGTTGGTCTTTTTTTGTTGTCCTTGCGTCGTCCGCTTCTTTTCTGCTCAACCACCTCCCCGCTGACTTCGCCGGACCTCCTGCTTCAATCCCACGGTCCCTATCTCCAGTCAACATGGACGCGATCCAGAAAACCATCGTCGACCCCCTCCAACCTCTCCTCCGCCCCGTCGTTTCGGCCCTCCCCGAACCGGTTCACGATGCGATCGTTTCGCTGATCGGCTCCTCCTGCCACAACAGCCTTGTGGTTGATCTTGACGTGAGCAAGGATCCGGCCTGCACCTCCCTTGCAATCTCGAAGGCTCTCGGCATTGCCATCGTCGGAGCCAGCGGCATCGTCAAGGTGCCCCAGATCCTCAAGCTCATCAGCTCCCGCTCATCTGCCGGTGTTTCCTTCGTTTCGTACGCCCTCGAGACTGCCAGTCTTTTGATTACGCTTTCGTACAGCGTGCGCAACCAGTTCCCCTTCAGCACCTTTGGCGAGACGGCTTTGATTGCGGTACAAGATGTGGTAGTGGGTGTGCTGGTGTTGACATTTGCGGGCCGGTCTGCTGCGGCGGCGGCGTTCATTGCCGTCGTGGCGGCCAGTGTGTATGCACTGCTCTTCGATCAGACTCTGGTGGATGCGCAGACAATGTCTATGTTGCAGGCTGGAGCTGGAGCTTTGGGTGTGGCGAGCAAGGCGCCTCAAATTTATACTATCTGGCGTGAAGGTGGCACCGGCCAGCTGAGTGCTTTTGCGGTGGGTACACCACATTACCTGACGATAATAGTTTACTAACGCATGCTCAGGTCTTCAACTACCTTGCCGGTTCCCTCTCCCGTATCTTCACCACTCTCCAGGAGGTCGACGACAAGCTGATTCTGTACGGCTTCATTGCCGGGTTCACTCTCAACCTCATCCTGGCCGGCCAGATGCTGTACTACTGGAACAGCCCGGCCAAGTCCCAGAAGAAGGAGAAGCCCGTTGCAGCACCTACTCCTGCGAAGGCGCCAGTCGCCGCCACCAGCTCGGGTGTGTCGCCCAAGCCTTCAGGCAAGACGCCCACTACTCGACGCCGGGGCTAGTTGCCTTTTTGGTTACTTTGCACCAATTCTCTTATAGAAATCTTTAATCATTTTTCCCTGCTACAAGCATTGCAACATATTAGACATCAACGCTGTCCCGGCACAGCTCCCGTAGTCATAAACCTCAGAATCTCATCCAACGGCACCACCGGCGCCACCATCTTAGCCCCCGCACCAGCATTAGCCCCAGACCCAGTATTCGCAGCAGCAATATCAAACTCCAACCCAGTTCCAGCCCCAGACCTCCTCACCCCGACAACCTCCATCTCATCCGCCTCACCCTCTCCCTCTTCACTATCGCTCTCATCCTCATCGTCATCCTCCAACACCCTGCTCAACCCCGTAACCACCTTCTCAAGCCCCATCTCCCGCTCCTCCAATGTATAGTTCCCACCCCAATTCCTCTTCCTGGCCTCCTCATTCGCTGCGACAGGTGCCCAGTCCCACAATTCAGCAATCGCATCATCACTCAGCAACCCCTGTCCACTGTTGGTCTGGTATTGTCCCAGTGCGCCAACACCAGTATCAGAAGAAGTAGTCGGCGCCCCGGCGCGACGACCACGCGCTACCCAGTCCTCCACGCGGGGGTCTAGTTTCGTGCGCAAAACTTGCTCCAGAGCGACATTGTTGGCGGGGACGCGCGACGGGTAGGATGCGTCAGGGTAGGCGACGATGTTGGATAGGAGGTCGCGATTATCGGAGAGGTGGTCAGAGATGGTAAGGAGGTTGTTGGAAATGATGGTTGCTTGGGATTGGAGGGATGTCCTGTTCATGTCATTGTATCAGTGAGTTGGTCTTGGCTGGGCTGTATAAAGTCAACATTGGTGGGATGTATACCATGAGGGGAGGGGATCGCTCTGATTGAGACTGGTTATGAGAGAGGCGAGGGAATGGGTGAGCTGGATGAGTCGTTGGCGGGATTGTTCGAGGGTTTTGATTTGGTCTGGGTTGAGAGAGGTCATTTTGTTCGTGTGGGGAAGGAAGGGGCAGCTTGGAGAGATGTGGTGGTGATATTGAGGGTTGGGATTGGAGATTGGAGATCGGCGACAAACAATCAAGCAGGTGGGCATTGAGCTACCTGATTGGAATGGCGGAGATGTCCGCGGAGTGGATTGGTGCCTGAGGTGTCGGGCGCTTTGGTGTGTTTACTCGTGATCTATGGTTCAAGTTGGAACCTTCATACACATGTTCCTTACCGAATAGGGCTCCAGTAGTATAAGCTACCACCTGTTTAATGTCCTTTTAATATTCTATTTGGTGATCAAGATGGATTTTGATTAGAGGTTTCAGTATCCTCGATCTACGTTGATGATGTCCCGCTTAACAGGATAGGTATATATCATAGGTGGAATCAACTCCAGCCTCGTTACTTGCAAACTCTCTCGCACCTATCTTCTCCTTCCTGGTTTTATATCTTAGCTACATTTGAGATGAAAGGCATACGAAAATTCAGTGCCATGAACTGCCCCTTCACGAGGCCATCCCCGTTCATCGGTTATGTATGTATTTGACGCTATCATGTTCCTATCTTCAACTGCCCATTTTGACTAATCCTCCACCTTCTAACCTACAGAACTTGAATCTCCAATGAGTAATTCCTTCACAATGGTACGCCTCCAATGGAGCACCGAACCTAACAATTCTGACCGCCAGTCAAAGGCATTCCCTGAGGCTCAAAGCCTTGAAGTCCAGAATCCACACTGTTGTCCGGGAAAATCCCAATAGAAGCAAACCCGAAAGTCGCATGGTTGGCTTGGTCATACATCTGGACGGACAACACATTGCCCTCATTCCACTTTGTACCTGCAAAACACTCAACCTGGCTTTCAATTTGGCCAAAGGCGTCGGCTCCATTGAAAGTGATATCGCCCGGGTCAGCGCTAGAGGCATCAGAATCAAACCGGCCCTCCATCAAGTGCTCGTTAAGTCGCTCATGCTTGTAAAACTCGTCGCGTTTCTCCTGTGTTGCGTGGTGGGTGGGATGACCCGCGTAGGAGATGGTAAAATGCACACCACCTTCGCCAGTATCACGAGAGGTGAGCTCCATTGGGCCATATTTGTGGTGGTTAAAACGGAACATAGGCGCAAAAGGATGAACACTGGAGTCACGGCGGGCCAACTTATGAGAATCGGGTGCGTATCCGACGAAGTCCACTTCGTCAGTTGACAGGCTGCGCAAAGCGTTATGAACGAAGTGATTGTGGGCCTTTTGTGAAGTCATATTTCTCGCCGGCAGGCTGTCCAGGTCCCGCGAAAAGGTTTGCAGGTCAATCTGTTCGAGACCGGACTGCAGCCAGGCATTTGCGGCAACCCCCAAGTACCCTTTCGACTCAGCGAACTTCTTGGCTGCGGACACCTCGCCACCCACACCAATGATGGTGCTGAGCAGTCCAGTGATGCAGTAGAAGATATTGTCGGCTTGACCCTCGTTTTGAACGCAGGTATTTATGGTGCTTGCCAGGCCAGCACCGGTGAGAACGAGGTTGAAGGCATGCCATGCTAGACCGATGGCCCAAGGAGCCACCACGAGAGCAACGTCGTCGGTCGTTCTCATATCGGCGCCGGTGGTCACTGCTAGTTCATGGATGTGTTCCGCGGTGCCATTATGGTTCAGATAGAGACCCTTCCAGTTCTCCCGAGGGCCTGGGTCCAGAGCACTCCAATTGAAGCTCTCTGGGGTCCACTTATCCACAACAGCAACTGCGCAAGTTGCAAGGCCAAAGACAACTATGGGAGACAGTGCGGTCCCAAAAAGGCTGATTCGAACCATTCTGTCAAGGCTTGTCGAGTCTGCGATACACAAAGAGAAGTTTGATTATTTGGTTGCTTGTTGCTCTGATGCTAGCGAGAATGCCCTCAGGGAGGAGGCCCAATTTATGTCTTGAGCCTGGATTTGACTGCAACTCAATCTATCCCCTCATAGCGCAGATTCTTCCGATTCCATTCTCAGACGAACGCAGGAATAAGTCCTGCTCATGCAGCTTCGCAGCCCTCAAGATGACCAACACGGGCTATGCACAGATCACCAGCATTCTGATGTAACGCTTTAGGGAATGATGCTTCCTTCTACAAGGAATACTTTGGCCAGGAGGACACGCCCTGTGACGAGAGTTCAGCAGCTAATGGTACCTTGGCAGTCTGCAATGGTCGTCCCGAACCTTTTGGTATCAAAATTGGCAATTCGACGAAAGCATGGCAGTCTGTCCTATCACAAACATTGCAGCAGTTCAGGTTCATCTTGGCCTAATTAGCAGTCCCCATGAACGGCAGCTTTCAACCTGTTATAATCCTTGCAATGTAAGCTTCGATCCTCAAACATGGCCATACAGATGACAATCAAAATGTTGGGACGGGGCACCGAGGCGAGAAGGAATATCGAAAGTCATCAATGTCCATCCCAACAAATGACGATGACCGACTTACTAGCGAACCCTGAATACTTTGGGGATAGATGGGTTGAACCATCCGTTTTCGGATCAACGGCCAAGGCTCGTCTGAAGACAAGTGTAAGAGTGGCGCGTGAGTTGTTGATTGGTCAATGTGATATGAAGATGTTTACTGATCAATCTTGACGAACTAGTGGATCCTTGTAAGCAGGACCCCCACAGAAGAATTGCTTTAGAAATGCAGAGTCCTGGCAGTCGGAAGAGGGCATCCACAATCTTGATGTCGGTATACCTTCCTTTACTGGCAATTATCTTGTTTGGCATAACACCTCGTGAGCTACACTAGGAGACGAATAGTGTCCAGTCTGCATCATCTCTTGCTGCAGTCGCGAGCGTACATGCACGGAAACATGGGTTTCAAAGTGACAGCCTACAGATCGGATACACCATCATTGTCGCACCAATGCCACAGCAATGTCCAAGATTTCTCTTGATGTCATAAACTGGGAAGATATTTTGCCTTGCGTCCTTGCTTTCTCACCATATGTTGAAGGAGCTATGCTTCTGTAGGTAAGCGTTAATTGATTGACTGTATCCAATGCACACTTCTGAGGTCCGCTCTGCCCACAGGATGAATCCTCAGGTGGGCCACAGGGCGTCAGCAATCAAATGGCCATGGCGCGGTCGTCGAAGTCACAGTTTCACATGAGTTATTTTTCGGTTCTTACTACATCTTCTTCGCCGAGCAGCTAAGCCCTACCGACACAGTAAGACGGTTCGCATGGACGGCCGAGCCACTAAAACAAGAATTGTGTGAGTAATGGACTCCACAGGATTTGGGGCTGTTTGATGGACTTCGTTAGTGCTGAATCATACCACGAGAGGCCCTCGAAATCGGAACTTCCTTATCCAGCTGAACCTAGCAGCTATGCCCAATGACACATTCCACCGCAGTGTCATTAGGCTATAGTGTGACAGGAACGCGTTGATTGAATTAACCTTCATAGTAAAGATCAACAACCGTAAGTGGCAGCCATGGGCAACATTCACCATCCACGGTCTTCCTTGGGACAGCCTTATGAGGGGTCTGAGTCAGATATGGAGAAGATGGAGAAGATGTCATCATAGTACTTCATTAAGCGCCCAGGGATCAGCTACGCAAACCGTGATAGGCGGATACTTCTTGTGCCAGGGTCTTACTACTAATATCCTCGGTCTCGGTAGCGGAGCCTTGTGTTCCGAAATCTAGTGACACCGTTCACATCCTACTCTCCTAATTCCTGGCCATAACGCAAGACACCATGGTTGTTGATCCGGAGAAGACCGCGGCTGGAGAGGCCTCCGAGGCCACACCTTTGCTACAAAAGGCGGCACCGATAGTGTCTCCGCAGGCGTGTTATCAACATCAACTACTGCTCCGGTGTTTTTTAAACCTGAAAAGCACAGTATCCAGAGCGGCGGGTCTATTCAAGACAGAGTATGACTACGAAATCAAGTCCGAAGTGGACCCGATCGCTCGACAATCCATGGTGGAGGAGCGCCGATGGTCAATCTATATCTCACGGGCTGTTCATCGATTCTCCGTTTGGTGGGCTCAAATACCCACAAATTCGGAGATTGAAGCAAGTAAAATCTCAGAGAAGCCGTGTGCACGCCACAGCGGATGGACATGGACAGGGGCCGAGTTACCTCCGTTAGGTAGGCGTTCGCAAACGCATCATCGGGGAACTATGACTGACTGATTTGGACGGAATAGATGTTTTAATGGTATTTCATGCATTGATACTACATCATATATCCTTCGGAGAGGATTGCTTTCGACATAAAAAGATGGCAATATGGAACGAAGGGTTTCCCCTCCAGCTAGTCTCGCAATGTATCGATCCGGGTAGCCTCACATATTCATGTCCTGAGTCCTGCAAGCTGCACTTCGAAGGCATGACAAAGTTGGCTTGGGACAATCTTGATGACGCCGACGGTGTGCCTGTCGAATGCCCCCGGTGTCAGAACCGAACCGTTGTGCCGTGGTCGACGCGGCGCAGAAAAGGCCTCGCAGAGGATTTGCTCCAAGTCTGCCAATCGTGCAAATATGTTCTCGGAAACCACGTTCTTGTTGTCCGGAAGCTCCGTCAAGATTTAGATCTACTGCTGCGCAGACATATTCCATTGCCAGGGACCTGCTGGAGCGTGGAGGGAAAACACGGCACTTTGACTCCTAAGAAGGCACCAAATGAGTTCGTCAAACGATACCTCATGAGCATGCTTCTCGAAGAGACGCGCCCAACTAATCTTTTCCCAAATCTGAGCCAAACCATCGAATCCCTTGGCCGAAGAGTGGTGAAGCCAGCTCTACCTATGATTCATGATATCTTTGAGCACTATCAATATGTGGAGAATTCTTCCTGCAATCTGCGTGCTGCTGTTACGAGGGTGTTGGAGTCGGCATCAGCAATGCAGGATACAAATCTGTCCGAAACTGATTTCGACTCACCACACATGGTGACTCAGTACATTGCGTTCCTGCGAGGGCAAGGCAAAGGGTTCTTATCGTGGGGTCCTGATCTGTCCGAGATAGATTTGACAGATCCTACTATGTGGGTCTGGAGCACGCATTTGCTGACGCCGCGTTCATACTCGGAATTCTTCCGGCGCGTGGGCAATGGTCTGCCCGTAGATTGGCAGCCGCCTCATTCTCCGAAATGCAGTTTGTGCCTTACGATGCGTCCTCCTTCATTTACCCGTCGGTTCTTCCAGGGACTCGTTTCCTTGTCAGCGTGGAAGGAGTTCATGGAGACAGCCGCGTAGGGAGCTAAATGCGATCTCGCTTCTGCCGGGCAGTGGCAAGACGATTAATCTGATCCCTGTCAGCGAGGCAAGAGATACAAGGACATTAGATCATGCATGAGAATGTCAACGTCAATCCATCTTGCAATGCAATACTGAAGATGATAGCCCAACAAGTTGGTTGGTACGCCCAAACACATATTCAAGTAATTCCCAGTAATTTATCCAGTGGACTAATCGTTCCTATAGCGATAGTCATAATCTAGGTTTAGGGTGTGATATATGTGAATGTCCCAGGCAAGGCCATATGGTCTCCTTGTTCTTCAATCTCATTACCCCGACTTAATCCCCGCATATGTCGTCCCAATCGACACCGACCCCCGAATCCTCCAATAATCTGTCCCCGCATTATAGGGCCCACGAGGCCTGTGCCGATACAGCACCCCACACTTTACCCTTGCAACAACCCCAGGTCTCATGGCTTGACGTCAGGGATTGTGGGGGATCGTCCTCCACCCCGGCTCCTCATTCCGTGCACATTGCCGAAACATGATGTTAGCACTACTGGGAACAGACAGCGCATGGACATTGGATATAGCCAGATTGTGCCCTTTAAAACCTTGTGAGAAGGAATTTACCCGAAGAACTGCCGTTGTTCAGTTCCTACAGAAATGGCGACGGAAGTGGTATTTAAAGCGCAGAGATATACTGCTATGATGCAGAAATGTCACTGGGGTCAGGCATCGAGGGCTCGATTCGTTGAAAATGACTGATCTTCTCAGCTTTCTGGTGCTTTTTGGTGCAGCCGGCAGCAGCCAGCTTGCCCATGCATCGCCTGTGACGCAGAAAGCCGAGGCGACAAGAGCAACCTCATACTCCTACAGCTCTTTTACCTACACGCAGGTCACTTCAACTCGCTATGCAACTTCACTGAGCTCACCGCTGTCTTTTGCTACACCGTTCGCTCCAGCATTTAGCGAGGCCTCAACCCTGCTTCCTGACAACGTGACCTATACCACATACTCTTTGCAGTCGAGTCAAACTCCCTCTGCAGACGGACAGTATGGCCAGAGTGCGTATGCTGCATTGTGGGCCAACCTGTCGTATACCTCCGCGCCTCCAATCACAACTACCGTCTCCCCTACACCGGTTCCCTCTAGCGAACTGGTGTACCCTCCAGCTCTGTACAATAGAATCGACTATGCAGATCTGAAGCTTCCCTCGGATTTTATCTGGGGCGTCGCAGCCAGCGCATGGCAGATCGAAGGAGGCCTGAAAATTGAAGGCCGCGGCCCGTCTATTCTGGACACCATTGGCGCTATTCAGAGTGACGACAACTCGTCCGATGCCAACATTGCCGACCTAGGCTACTACATGTACAAACAGGACATTGCCAGACTAGCAGCCATTGGCATCCCTTACCTCTCGTTCAGCATCTCCTGGTCACGAATCGTCCCCTTCGGCGTCGCCGGCTCTCCCATCAACACCGAGGGACTCCAGCACTACGACGATGCGATCAACACCTGCCTCGAATACGGCATCACCCCCATCGTAACCCTAAACCACTTCGACTTCCCGACAGCTCAAGCTACCGACTACTCCACCCTCACAGACAACTTCCTCTACTACGCGAAACAAGTCATGACCCGCTACGCAGACCGCGTCCCCTACTGGGTGACTTTCAACGAGCCGAACATCGGCATTGGCATGGCCTTCAGCTCCTACAACGACCTCACCCACGTCCTAACCGCCCACGCAGCCGTCTACCATTGGTATAAAGAAGAGCTGAAAGGCACCGGCCAAATCACCATGAAATTCGCCAACAACCTCGGCGTTCCTCAGGACCCCTCCAACGGCAGCCACGTCGACGCCGCCCTCCGATACCAAGACTTCGTCCTGGGTATCATGGCTAACCCATTATTCCTCGGCGAACAGTACCCTTCCTCTGTCCTCAACACCCCAAACCTAAACCTCACACCACTGACCGACTGCCAAATCTCCACCATAAACAACACCATCGACTTCTGGGCCTTCGACCCCTACGTCGCGCAATTCGCCCTCCCACCGCCAGAAGGAATCTCTGCCTGCGCAGCCAACTCCTCCAACTCCGCCTGGCCCGAATGCGCCAGTCTAACTATGATCCAATCCGACGGATGGCTCATGGGCGATATGTCAAACGATTACTCCTCCATCGCGCCACAATACGTCCGCCAACAGCTAGGATACGTCTGGAACACATTCAAGCCACCGGGAATAGTAATCTCAGAATTCGGCTTCAACCCGTTCGACGACTCATTAAAGGAGGGCGACGCGCAGCGGTATGATCTGGAGCGTACGCTATACTACCAGGACTTTCTGGGGGAGATGTTGAAAGCGATTCACGAAGATGGAGTGAATGTGATTGGGACGTTGGCGTGGAGTTACCTGGACAATAATGAGTTCGGGAGTTATGCGAACCAGTATGGGATGCAGAGTGTGAATCGCACAGACGGGACGTGGGAGAGGAGGTATAAGAGGAGTATTTTTGATTATGTGGATTTTTTCCATGAGCATGTTAGCAGGTAGCTGCTAATATACCTCAATAAGTACAAAGTTGGGTAGGTGTAGAATGCAGTAAGAATACAACATGCATAAACTCATTTTCACTAATCTACAACCACCAAATATAGATCCCTAATATCACCACCACCACCTATACCTATACCTAAACCCCCTCCCCCTCCCTTGTCCCTTTTATATCTAAGAATCATCCATCTAAATATATCCCACTACACCATCTACCACCACGGAGTAAAATAGTTGCCTAACCTCTCCCCCCTTCCTCCCATCCAATAACAACACTAATCCAATCCCGAAACCCATCACATCTTGGCATACATCTCCCCTAGCTTGGCACGTCACAACATCATCCAATAATCCTTCACAGATCCATACTATCTTCATCCCGTGTGTTTATTTTTGGTACATATCTGCATGAAAACTTCTTCATTCTTCATTCTTCTTCTGGGGGAGGGTATTGAGTTGAGCTGTGGATGGATAGGCCTTGCAGGATGCCGTGGGCGGTTATCTATCCCTTCTGTGTATTTGTAACTTTGTCTTTCTTTAGGTTGTATGTGGAACGGGATGGAGATAGAGGGGAGGGTATAAAGTACTGGGGGAGGTTCTTCAGGTTTGTGATTCCTCTTCTTCTTCTTCCTCCTCCTCCTTTTCTTCAGTTTTGTTCTTTTCTTGTGGTGCGGTGTATCATTGATTCATCCTCTATCCCATACTTTTTCAATTGGAGATACATGGTTCTTTCTGGATTGTTCACAACTTGGTATTCGCTTCTCTCATTATTCATACTCATACTCGATAGACATTATGTGCACCAGCAATGCGGGGGTATATGCCTCATTATGCACATCAAAACAGAACAACAATGACATGACAGGAACAACAACAAAGACATGGTTCATATCCACCATTTCACCCACTTAGACGTTACTTATTCATCATTTCAGTACGCCGCCGACAAGTGTCTACGCATCACAGCTTCAACTCCCCCGGATACTCCTGCGACGGACTCTTCCCCTTATCTTCAGACACATTCATCATCACCTGCTTGGAGTACCCCACCTCATGAGTGCGACCATCAGTATCCACGACCTGGAACCCTGAACCGTACTGCGTGATCTGCTGCGGCTGCGAGTACATCTCCGGCGGCGGGTACTCGCTCCACGGATTCTCCGCCGCCATGGCCTTCCACTGGCGCAACTCCTCGTCCTCACGTTCTTGGCGTCGCCACCAGCTGATGCCGAGTACACAGCCGATAGTCAAGATGAAAAGGAGAATCACGAAACCCATGAGCGGCAGACCGATGAGAGTTGCCAATTTATAGTTCACCCCGCCCCCGCTGGGCGTGTCCAGCAGGTCGCTGCTATAGGTAGGTAATTGTTCCTGGGCAAAAATCAACGACGGGCTGATCGGGAAGGCTGTTTGGGATGGAACAGGAAAGTGGCAGTCATAGCGGAGGGCTTCGATGACTATTGACCTTCAAGTTAGTCAAACTCGTACAGAAGAGCTGGGAAACTCACAATTGGCCATAAGCACTTGTGTTTCGGTCAGGTTGTAGCAGAACTCGCAGGTTTCTATCTGATTATCGGCAAACGTGGAGGTAGAGCACCAGGCGCGAAGATTGATATCGTTCGGAGTGAGCAAGTCAAACTCGATCGCGCTGTCTAGTCCTTGGCAGGAAACCAAGCACTGCGACGAGACGCTGTCGACGCCCGCCGGGTAACCGTAGACACAGGCGCTGAACGCATAGCGGAGGTTATCTAACCACGTTAACAACAGGTTTTAGATCGCACATGGAGCAGGCTTACACAATCCCCAGTCCACGTCCGTCACCAACCCACTGGGATCAGTGTAGGTACTGTTGAGCGCACACGAGACGCAATCCTTGAAGTTCTTGCCAGTCGTGGTGTCGTTGTAGGCCGCGTCCATGCAGACAATCTCCGAGGTGGTGGTGTTGGTGGGGTCGTTACAGACATCCCAGCATGGGGAGCCTTCGCTCACGTACAACGCTGTCGCGGGGGGTGCGACGTGGCTGACGAGCAGAAAAGACGCCGCTGCGGCAGCCGCTGCCCATCTCGATGTAGATCTGGGGCTTAGACCCCAAGAGCCGAGCATCTTGGTATTTGCTTTGGTTCGATCGATCGTCGGAGACGGCACGATAACCTTCCAATGCTACCGTTTTATCTTACGACCAAACGAGGGAAGGCTGGAGACAGTGCGGTCGACAGAACCCGCGCCGAGAGCACCGCGCAGCAAGAGGCAGAGAGGGAACACAACCGGGAATGACACGATGGGGAAAGCGAGGGTAGAAATGTGAAGGTGAACCGGTCCCAACCCAGATAGATCGTCGGTTAAACGGCAGGATCGGTGCCATGGTGGATTGATAAAGCAGACGGCCGAGGAGGGGAGACACCGTTCCGTCCCGGATTGGCAGACATGCCTGCCTCTTGGATGGGGTGAGGAAGATCCAACGAGCTCAGTGAGGAGCAGTAGCCCGGGCGCTTCGAGGGCCTCTCAGAAGCAGCGAAAGCGGGCTGTCTCTGAGGGAGGTGTGACGGTGATTGTGACGGTCAGTGCAGCAACTCCTGCCGCTGCCAGGATGTACGTTCATTGGCGGCTAGTGGCATTGAGCTGCAGGCAAGCTGTGGATGTGATGCGCCGTGATGGCCGCAGATTGGTGGCGAGCTCTGACCTGCTCGCGGGGTTCGGCGCTTACTCGCGCCTCCGCATTGGCCCAGGGTGACTGGCTGCTTGCCTATCACATCCACTGCCACTAATTAGCATCCCTGCTCATTTTAGATCATTGCTGTCCAATGAATCCATCAACCCCTCCTGTGTTGATCGCCCTAACTTAATTGGCGCTTCGAGAGGAGTCGTGCTGCCGCTGTTGGGACGTAGAGACACTAATCCATAGATTGGGGTCAAGATGACCGTCGCTGTCACCTACGGCGACACGCCAACATACTAGCTGGGAATAGCTTTCACGCCATGAACGAAATTCCAACAATTTGATCACCCCCAAAACGGTAATGAGAAAAGTCCACATAAATCAGCCAAAGCTTAAACAAAAAAATCAAGGAAAACGCCTCCCGAAAGGAATGAGACGCCACAATGCATGCAGGTTAAATCTTTTGCCCTCTCACGGCTGAATTAAGAATCCCATCCACCCAAACGAAGTAGGCCAGTCCGGCGTAGCTCGGCCGTGACTGCCACCCCCAAAATGAAGCAAGCATGCACGCAAGTGATATACGCAAAATTAAAGAATCAAACAGAAAGCCTCCCATGGGTCCTGCCCCAGATTCCGGTAGTTACCCGTACAATTCATCATACGACGGTACCATTTCAGGTTGTGTCGGTAAACTCAGCGGCTCTGGCTTGGGGCGCCGTACCGATTTTCGATCATGTTGCGTAGACAGACGGTGTCCCTGCGGTCGCTGGTCGTCCGACGGATTCGAGGGCACCGAAGAGCTGTAGCTGGTATGCTTCGAACCGGCCGTTCCAGGTCCTGACATCGGAGGGTCCATCGTGTGTCTCTGAGCGCTGTTTCGGCTACGCATGCGAGATGTTACCGACAAAGGAGGCGATTTGGATGCTTGCGAATAGGCATCAGCTTCTTCCTTCTCGGCTGGATTGTGGTCGCGGGAGACATTTAGAGGAGCGGGCACGACCACGTCGTCTTCCTCATCTTCAGAGGAGTCGTCTGAACAGGATGCATTGTCGCATTCGCGGGGAGAATCCAGGACTTTCGACACACCGACCGGAGGGCTCTGCTGTTGGTTTTTTCTTCGCATTCGACTAAGTCGTGCATCATAATGGCCGGTAGGAATCGTCACGGCTGAATCCACGGATGGCGCCCGCACATTGGCATCCCCAATGCGGCTGTAACTCCCCAGCCTCGGCGCGGTGGCGGATCGATTGAGTTCTAAGGAGCCATGCCGTCGCTCGTGGTCGGGGGAGGCTGAAGTTGCGCCGGTAGAAGACTGATCCCATTGACTCCAGGACCCACCGTTAGGATAGGTGATGGAGACATCCCCCCATCGCGAGTGCAGCTCTGAGGATAGCTTTCGCTTGCGTCGTAATTTTTGGATGATAGCCGTCATTGTCACAAGAGCGTCCTTCCTTAATGTAGTCGAGCTGGAGCACCCGGGCCCGCGTCAGCATCGACCGCACAGGTCCCTCCAAGAACTCGGAGGAAAAACTAGGTTAAGAAGGATCAAGTCCAACCACGGTACCTTAAAATGTAAGGGCCCGCCGTCTACGGGTTTGATTTAGGTCGGGTGCCTCTGCTTCAGAGGACCCCACGACCCGGTCCCGAAGCTGCCTAGAACAGGAAAGTAAGATAGGAACAGGGACCAGACAGCCACCGAAGGACTGGCATGGAAAAGTGTCAAAACGGGAGGGGGGTGAACACCGAACGCTGCAATCCATCGGCCGAAAGCTCGGCTGCATATCGCCCACAGGATGGCAGAAGAAAGACCCTTTCAGGGACCAACGCTGAATCCCTTCAGGGAACGTCCCTCAGTGCGAAGAGGGATGGGCATCGGAGCCCAGAGAACGAGACGGACGGTGAAAGGCGAGCAGACACAACCTGACCCGACAGAATGGTTCACCCTCCATCACAGCGGACTTTTTGTCGCCCTGGGTGGGGAGGCCCGTCGGGCGTACGCGGCCAGTGGGAGAAGTCTCAGTTAACCGGAGGGGGATCGCCCTTTGTTTTGTAAGCGGGATGACGATTCCGACGCAATGACTGGTCATGGGAGAGCCTCTGGAGCAGGGAGCAAAGCCGGTCCGCGTGCCTGGAGATGGTAAAAGAGGGGAGAGCAGTCGGGAGAATAGCTGAGCGGCGCAGTCAACTTGCAGGCAACCTGCAGCCAGCCTACCGGAGGGAGCTGCTAACAGACTCCGGGAAGTTGGCGACATCCAACCACAGCCGTAGTTGATAGTCCTCCCTTGGCGTGGTCCATCCAGCGGCTGCGAGAGAGATGGAAGGGGTGTGACACAAAGCAATCCTTGTTCTGGGAGATGAATGGACCTCTCAGCGGCTACAATATGGGCGAGATCCCTGTCGATGTGAGGGAGGGAGCGTGATGAGGAATGCCACTAGTTGTCGTAGTAGCAGTAGTAGCAGCAGCTGGACTCGAATCGACAGCTCGACTGCCGCACCCAACTCCGACGTAGCATTGCTAACCGGGGGGTTGGAGGTCGGAAACTTGATTGGCGCAGAAGCTTCGATGGGAACCAGGGTCTGGAGGAGGAGAAGAGGGGAAGCAGCAGCGACAATCACCGGTTGATCGTCGCGGTTGGGCCCGAACCACCCGTCGAGCTTATCTACGCGCCGTGATGGAGACGGCGCGCGAGGGCCAGTGTAGTGGTCACTTGTCACTTGTCACCGTGCAGCAGTCGAGTCCGGCCGATTGTCTAGCTGCAGTAGAGTGAGACATGAGGGGGAAGAAGATGGTGGGAAAGCTGTGGGTTGGAAGAGATGGAAGAGGAGGTGGTGGTGGAGGAAGAAGAAAAGAGGAAGAGGGAGGGGGAGGGAGGGGGTTCCCCAGTGGCTTGCCGCCTTCGGGCTCCTCCACGCTTAATTCTTTTGCAGTCACTCATCAATCTTCCTTGGTTCATCACACCATGCCCGGCACAGTAATTTAGGCGGTAGATATGTAGGTGATGAAGAAAGTGATTGTGGTTGGGTGGAGCGGGGGTACATCCTGGCTCAGTTCATCCAGGATGAGGGGAGAAGAGAAGGTGACTTGCAATAGAAAAGATACAATAGTAGAAGGGCAGACAACAGGAAAAGAAAAGACCATAGTAGATACGTACCTGGGGCTTTCATATCATTCTCCATCAATTTCTTCATCCCAAGTCTAGTCTGCAATCATCATCATTGTCGTCGTGATTATCGTCATCATCATTAAAGCCATAACCCAAACACCTTAACACCCAACAGCACCAACCATGACGCCAAACACCCAACATAGAAACATAAGAGAATCACGACTATATCAGCCTACCCAAAGTTCGTCACCAACCGTGACAGCACCGGTCTAGGTCGTTGAACCGACTGACCTTCCTCCGCCTCACCACCCTGCCTGTTGACCGGCACATCCAGCCTCTCCTCAACAGCAAAGCTAAAGACATTCGAGTCTCTATCCGGCACTCTTCTTTGGGGCTCTATTCCCAATCCCGACATCCGATACATACTAGCCGTGACCCCAGGGTATGGCACCGCGATACCCACCATGCCATCAACCCCATGGTACCGTGAAGGGTTATACACAGGGAGGGGCTGATACGCCGGTGGGGGATCCTCGATGACCCTCTGCAGAGGATGTTGCTGTTGTTCAAGACATGATGAAGGTTCCTGCTGTGCTGTGGAGGTGATCTCAAGTGGGTACTCGGGGGTCTGAGGCTTGCTTCCTTCCAAGTCAGGATGATACTGATAGTACCCAGTGGTGGATTGAGACAAGTGATGGGCGAGCAGGCGTTGCTGCTGACGGCGATGACGGCGTTCGTTGCTTCGTTCCTTGCATCGGATGAGGAGGATGGCGCTTATGACTTGCAGGACAGAGTGAGATGAGATGGTGTCGAGCCCCAACTTTCATGGCACAGGAAGGATGGAATGATAGATGGAAGGTGACAACATACTCATGATCACTGCTACTCCTCCAAAGACCACGCCAATGATGATCTGATCCCGACCGGACGAAGGGGACTCCACGGACGATGATGAGTCTTGTCGAGGATATCCATCACGAGGCAGGATCATCGTGCATGCTCCCTTGATGGGGATGACGGATAGAAGGATGTGAGTGGAGTGGAGTGGATAGCAGGATGGATGACAACTTTCTTGCTTGCTTGAAGCACCAACGCACGCAGCACAACGATGAAACAGCACACCAGAAAACGAAACAAAGCAGAATGCAGACGAATCCACCGAAAAGAACCAGAGAACCTCCCGACTTAAAATACTACTCAAACTCACCAGTAAATCCCATCCTGGCGCTTGAAAAGTGCCTTTCCCCGCTCGGCATCTATTTTAATCTCACCGAACCTGTCACTTAACCAGGGACTCGCACATCACAACTCGTGGAGATGAACGAACAAGCAAATACCAAGCCAAAAATAGCATCCAGATAAGGTGTTAACGGGATCCATTGGATGAGAGACGTGGAGTCGCGGTGCCTGAGCGCTTGGAAGGAGTATGTTGTGAGGGCGCTTATTCGCGATGAGGGTCCGGGAGGGCCGAAAATAGCATATCCTATCTGTAGCTAATTCTGTAGGGCTAGCCGGACTTAAAATAGACACATATCTCCATCATTCATACAAATACCAACCTCCCATTTCCCACTCTCATTCACAGAACAAAGAGGAGAGATAAAAGAGGAAATTTTACTCCGCAAAAGGCCTATAAACCAACAATCCCCCCTCCGTCTCAAAGTTAACCTCAACCCCAGCACCCACAAAATAAACCCACCCTTCCTTCAACTCAAACTTCTCGCCTTCCACACCCATCCACCCACTCCCCCTCACAACAACTAACAAACTCACTCCCTTAACCCCCCTATGCACCTCCTTCTCCCCCTTCCCAAGCCTTACCCCCAGCACTGAGAACTCCGAAAACGGGGGCTCATAAACCTCCGTCTTCCAACACTTCCCAATATCACTCTTCTTCCCCCTCAACAGCGCACTTTCCACATCATGCGGCGTGAAACTCAACGACCTCGTAAACAAATCCACATCATCGCTCTCCGCCTTGGGACAAAACCCCGTATTTATGACATTATCCGACCTAGCCATACACTCCATAATATCCCCAGTAAGATACGCATGCATACTATCCGCAGGCACACAAACCGCCTCCCCAGGCCCGAGAGTCATATAATTCATAAGGATTGTGGCAACAAGACTCCCGTTATCGGTATCTGGGTACATCTTCTTCAATCTAGTCAGTAGGCCAGGGATGTATCGCTGATTTGGGCCGAATTGGGCCTCTGGGATAGTGAGCAGGGAGGAGATGGTTTCGGAGACCAGTATGGGTGGAAGAGTGAGTAGGATACGGGAGATTTCGCGCAGGAGGGAATCGTCGAAGGTAGGGGCGTTGGTCTCTGTGGGGAGGAAGCGTTGGAGAGGGGCGAGTTTAAAGAGGTTTTCAATCTCGTGGAGGGGCTTGAAGCCGACGAAGAGCTCGAAGTTGGAGAGGGCAATTGCGATTTCGGGCTTGTGGTTCGGGTCCGAGTATTTGTCTGGCTGGGATTCGTGGAGTTTCTCGGCGAGTTTTTTGTCAGGGTGGATTTGGAGGGGGAGGGCCTTTTGGAAGGAGAGGATCTTCACTCGTGCAAATATGTTGTTAGTGTTTATGACAGGATGATGGGGATGGGGTAGTATAGGGTAGGGATCTTTTACCTTCGGGAGGAAGGGCACCTCCGTACCCCATTTCTTGTATCCTTCGCCAGTAACCTCGGGGTGCTTTTGGAGGTACTCGCTTAGCAGTTCACCTGTGGCAAGGATACGAGATGGGACGGTGGGATATGTGCCCATCCACATCTAGTCACAGCTAATTAGCATAATTATCTCTGAAAAAATGGGTAAAGTGATATACCTCAGAATAATGTTGATCATCCTCCACTTCAATTGTACCAGGCGTCTTGGAGCAAAGAACACCAGCTAACGAGTTTTTACCTTGCTTACCCCAGGGATCATTCTATTAAGGTCAGCTAAACTCGCAAATTTGTGTAAAATATTGTGATAAATTGATGCATACCTTGATCCCGCACTTAAGCTGAAATACCGAGGCTGTCATTATGATGATGGTGGAAATCAATTGATATGTGCTAGGCTCTAAAGAAGCTCAATAATAATATATTGAGGCAAAGAAGACGATTTCATAAGATATATCGAGATATTTACTTATATACGAAGTTCTATGTTGACTGCGTGAACATGGCGTCATGGACTGCGTGGAATGGCCGGATGGAATGGCGTCATGCCCTGATCACTACTGCCATGCCCTGATGGTCTCGCCCTGGCCCGGGAAGCCTTCCGACGAGTGATGGAGTTTAAATCTGAGCTTTCTTATCTTATCTGCAGCTATATTCTACTCTATTTTGTGAACTCGAGTCCTGGAACTTTTGAAGGCGATAATTATCTGGGGATGCAATTAAGAAGTAGGGGTGAGGGCGGGCCGTCGGGTTGACGTCAGTTCAGTGTGGAATGTTACTTAGGTACTATGACTGTAACGCTGTCAGTGTTAGTAATCTAGGGAAATGCTACGAAGCATCACTAGTAATAAATACTAAGATAGTTATATTCGGTTGTTAATTATCAAATCCAAGACATTTATTATGTTGAACAGCTAGTCCAAATATAGTAACGGAAATTTGCTCAGAAATCCGCCAACATATGCAGATGTGCTAAAGTCCCCATCACGGCCGTCACACATGAAGCTAGTAATGCATCGCTAAACCGGGTCAACATCACGTAAACAATCATTAATTATCCATAAATATCATCAGCATCCGGAACCATCGCTGTCGTCAAGTTTCTCCCAGATCGGCCCCGCTTCTCTGTGGCTCCCCCACTGCGACCCAACGCCGGACTGCCCCGTCGACTAGCAGCAGCACTATAGTAGTCCACACTGCTCCTATCTCGTCGAGTAGATAAAGGTCGTTCATACCGCTCTCTCCTCTCCTCGTAGTACTCATCATCGTAGCAATCCTCTGCAGCATCAGGATACCGGCGATGACTCCGCCGCGTACCCTCACTCGGACAACTACTCTGCACACTATGCCGCTGACTCGACCAGCGACGTGAAGTCGGGAGTCCAAGTTCCTCAGCATACTGAGGCGCAGTAGGGATGTACTTGAATCGGGGAGAGTGCTGACTCTGTCGAGAAGCCTTTTCAGCCATCTCCGTGGGATAATCTTGGTGAATTGGTCGGTAGGTGAACTGAGACACCCGCCTCTCTGCTTTGGTTTGACGGTCGGTGGGGGTAGTGTTCTCTTTAGGGCTGTCGGTGGTGGGTTTGGAGCGGGAGCTGATGCGCATGGAAAGACGGCGTGGGTTTAGCGCCTTGACAGAGAAAGAGCTGGGTTGGGTAGATTCGTGATGATCCTCGATAGGACTATCTTGTCCTCGACTGAGAACTTCATAGGCGGGTCGTCGACGGTCTGATGACCGGTGGGGGTTGTCGCGCTGGTTCCAGGAGCCCTCGGTGGGAACGGTGATGCCCATGTCGCCCCATCGTTCGTGCAGTCGTTTGTGGGATCCGTTCTTACGGAATCGACCGAGAGGGCCGGTGACTATACTGGCCATGGTGGAGCCGGAGGTGAAGAGATGGAGGATGATTGGATAGAAGGACGCAACTCTCAGCCTTAAAATAGCTGGAAATGACACATGACAGTGGCAGAGGATAAGCTCTCTAGAGTGGAGGCTTCTACCCCAGACTCTCCAACGGTTGGCCTGGTAGCTGGGGACTATGCAGGGTAAGGTGCAGCAGACACGGTGCTGACAGATGCACGTCTAGCCAGGGCAGAGAGGATAGGCCGAGGTGATTGGAGGAACAGGCAAGATGAAATTGAAGTCAAGTTAATTAGTAGAGTATAATAGGCAAGATGCAACAACCTCGCCAAGCACAGACCATTTCAAGATATCTTGTCAAAAGAATCAAAGTAAGGCTTTCTCCAAGGCTGCCAGTCTGGTTCTGAGACAGCCTCGTCTGAACATGGCGGATGGCCCATATAAAAGCCTTGCACGAGCAGGGGCCGCGATGGTGATACCTTTCTTGTTCCACCATCGATATCAAAACGCATCATGCATGTTCATTTGTTTGTTGCCAAGTTTAGAAGCACACTCCATGCCCATCACCCGCATCCTGGCCGTCTCATCGTGGGTTAACCGCCCGGGGTGACGGGTGGGCGCTTCAGCCAAGGGTTCGACTGGAGGGATCGTCCGGCGGGTAGAAAAGGAATACTACTGATAGGCTGACCAGATGCCATGATCTATTTTCAGATCACTGGTTTACCGTCCTAATTAACCGCCCGGCTTCGGGGAAAGAATGGTGGTTAATGCGGACGGATTTAGAAGCACTAGTTGGTCACTTGCAGCAGCGTCGCGCCCGGGAACCCCTCCCTCTGGCCCTGAAACCACTCACACTCTGTTCCATCTGGCTGGGAGGCCACTTCATCCCATCCGGCGTTTCATCTGGTCGGTAGGTAGGGTTGGGAGCCAATGGCAGGTGGTGCTTCCTTGTGATCTTCTATTTTTGGAGCTAAACTCGATGGTTGTGTGATAGGGCCTGCTACTGTGCTGTTACTAAGCTATGAGGGGCTTCGGGTTGTGAAGTATTAACCTGGAATAAGTTGTTCAATTATGCAGATTTTAGCAGGTTATGGAGTCTATAGTAATATGGAGCTATACTCTTTGAAGGAAAAGTTGGTTATACAACAATAGAGTACTAATGACTGAGAAAGCGGATGGTGTAGCTAAATGAGTCGACTTAACCTTTCCTATAAACTAATATTCTCTATTTGCATACTTTTACCGACAACCGCATTTCTTCACAGCCTGCTGGTAATGCTCCTAAGCAAGACATGTGCTAGATCCCCTCTTCGCGTGTTGACGACGAATTCATGTCGGCATGCTAAGTAACCGAGCAGTACGGTGGTGCTCTATTTCTGTGATAGCGGTGCAGTCAACTGCGAACCACCCTCAAAGCAAAGGAAAGTCTAGAACCAAGTATGGTCTCTATCCAGTCACCCCCAAGAAAAGAACTCCAGTCCTGACGTATGGTTCTAAAATGCAATCTCCGTCTAGACCCATTGCCATGAGCCAACGCATGTACTGCCCAATAAACTAGTAAATCCGACCAAGCCAAGATGTCCTCATCAATATATAGTATGTACACCGAAAGAAAGTTTCCCATCTTTATGTTCTCTGTTGATCGCAGTGTTCCAGCACATACGTCACAACTGAGTATGAGCGATCAAGCAATATATATTTGGTCAGTTGTAGAAGTTACGAGAAGTGGGATTGGAGACATAGGCTTTGGGCGTCATCCGGAGGTGGTGAGGGGAAGGTGGCAACGATGGCTCAGGTGTCGTTGGCATCGCGTGCGCAGACAGGTCTGGAGGCCATACGGGAGCTCGCTGTGAACTCACCCGTCCTATATGTATGGGAGAGGATGGATGTGGTGACTGTGCGCTGCCGTTAGGGGTGGCCTCATCGGAAGGCGGGTCGTCGGATGATGACGGTTCCCATGAAACATGCCTTTCTAGCGGGACGCGGGTCGGAGGGGAGGATTCCTCACTATGTTCGTCACTCTCAGAACAAGGACTATAGAATCCGTCCCCAGTGTTGAAAAATTGGCTTGGATTGCTTTGGCGGCGCCGTTGCACTGCTTGGTCCAGTCTGGCCGAGGCCACAGAGTCGATTCGGTGCGTTTGTTCGGATAGCAACACGCTGCGGGACCTTTGTAGGAATGGCCTTGTCCGCCGGCCCGGGTCGTGGCGGGCATGTTTGATCTTTTCGATTTCATGGTTATAGGAGCTTCTCCGGTTCAACAAACGTCCTCGGCCTCCACTGCTGTCGAGGGATTCGATCGAATGGCCAGCAATGCTATCTGTTCTTGCGTGGACGCGACTCGGGGAGAAGGCCACTCGAGCCCGCATTTTCTGAATGGCCAAGTCCAGCGCCAATTCGATGGCGCAGTGGTTGCGTATTCGTCCAAGCTTGGGCCATGTGGCCCGCTCGCCGCTTAGGCATGCTTGAAGCATAAACTCCGTCGTCGGGTTGCGTAGCATGACGGGAATCCGAGAATACTGAATTTCCGGATATATATTGATGTCTCCGGAATACTTTTGGTTGACAATCGAAACTGTTTTGGTCAAAGACGTGGGAAAGATCCCTAGCTCGGACATGACTGTCATCCGATGTAAAATCTCATCCTTGGCAAGATATGTGATATTCCGGATCCAACGAGAAGCGGTGAAAGAGTTTTCCATATACGGATCTGGCCCATCATCCTTGGGTAGAAATGGAACGACATGGGGATTGACCTGCGATACAATGAAGTGGTTGACGTTGAACATCTCCGACAGACGAGTCATAGGGAGGTCACCGTCCACGGAGCCATCAATATATTGCCTATGAAGGTCGCTCCATGGAACTGGTTCTCCTGTCAGGGGATCCTTAGCCATAAGGGCATACGGCGAAAAGACTACCGGGACTGAACATGAGACGGCCCTGTTGAAGTCAGCATCAACTCCTATAGGTTTGAAAACAGTCGGAATTGTGTAAGGGGGACCATACACAGCAGACCAGATCAATACATTGGGCGCAGTTATATAGTTCAACAACTTGGGTAGCTCGTAGATGCCAGCACTGGAAACGCAAATGTTGAGGATGCGTCGTGTTCGGTTATATGCCTCCTGGAAAGTGATATCGCCCAACCAATTCCTCACCACCTTGGCTAGGTGCGAGATGTCCAGAAATGACCCATATTTCAAGAACCGGGCTGTCTTCTGGAGGATACTATCTTCCTCAGTCCCCTCGCCGAAAACAGCAAAGTCCCCCTCTGTAAATGAGTCCAGCAAAGCCGGCAGCTCATCCTCAGTGCGAGTACAGAAGACGGCACACACAATGCTGCCCGCAGACGCGCCGGAGATGATTCGCGGCAGAAGGTTAGCTTGCCAAAGAGCCTTTAGTACGCCAATATGATTCATGCCAAAAGTGGCTCCCCCGGAGAAGAGCAGCGCACTTCGCCCGAAAGCCTGTCTCGCTGCGAGCAACTGGTCCAGGATATACCTGGATTCCACCACATCGCACCGGTTTTTATCCGCCAGCTCAACTAACGACAATATTGTTTCTAGCGCGGTATCAATGTATTGATCGATCAGGTTCTTAGTTCCGAGATGAGCATGCTTGTAGAGAGAGGCGTTGCTCATGTTGCCCAGATCGCGGCTCAGGGACGTGCGGATGAGGAACAACATGCGACTGATATCACAGTTGATCCGGGCATCGTCCAGCTGCTTGAGACGATCGAGCACGAGATGAGGGTCATAGTCGGGACACTCGAACGTTTCCTTCCAGGCAGAGTTATTCTCCAACTCATCCAGTTCGCTCGCAGCGTCTCGCCATTCTTCGTAAGTCACAGCCTGAAATACGTTAGCTGGCAGCCATACCGGCTGGCCCTAAATCATGAGAAGGAGTCTTTAACTCACATTGCGCTTCTTGAGGTACAAAGACTCCCTTCGCTCATCCACAGCAGCGCGCAGTCTGCGTTCTTTCTGGGACTGGCCATTCCCATAGGAACCCCACGTGTCCCCCGCCCATGTCAATGAGTTTTTGACGACGGCCGACAGCGACGGAAGAGAAACGGACTTGAGAACGGAGCGACGGGGTTTATTTGGCGTCTCCAGAGAGCGCGGTTTGCCCTTTACATGACACTGTGGTCGAACAAGGGAGGAATCATGCAGGATGGACATGACCGACTTCAGGGTGCATCAGGCTCGCATCGGTGCGGAGATGGAGGGGAAAATAAGTTTGGATTGGAGAGGGTGCCTAAACCGGGGAAGGCAAATCGGAGATCTTAGCGAGTTAGGCCTGATAAAGCATTCGAAAGGTACTTTCAATAGGCAGGAATAAAGAAGTGAAAGGAAGGGGGATGTTGGGGATGTTGGTGATGTTGGGAATGTTGGGAATGTAAGTCGGAGCAACAGCAGGAAGTAGATAGATGTAGCCGCAAGAGTTCGTGCGCCGCGTCTTTAGCAGGTCAGGCACGAGGCAAGGCCAGCCCATCCGTCAGTCAGCCGGATCCATGCATTTTAGTTTGCCTGGTCTTCTGCCAGGGATGACCGAGAGAGAGAAAATGGCCACTCTTTCTCTCCAGACGTCACGAGGCAGCATTCCCCGGATGTCTGATTGGTCCCCCGGCTTTCCAGCGGGTGCTGCCGATCGCCCCAGTCACGGGATGGAGTTGGGAATTACTAGTACTCTTCAAGTATTCTATTGTTCACTGAAACAACATGGCGGGTTATTGCTCAAAGAGCCTAGAACCAGTCTTCAATTCTCCATCTTATCATCATCGATGAACACCCCATGTCCTCATCCATAACACTAGACTCTTATCCAGTGGACCCCGACACCAGATCCCCGATCGGCATTTGTACCAGTGTGTCAAAGTAAGTGTGCGATGGCGACTTTATCATCCGATGGCCGATACATCCGGTGATATCATACCCCCACAATTCTCTGCTGTATTCCTTTTGCATGCTAAAATCTGCAGATCAGCAAAACTCAAAGGGCTTCCACCTCATGCCCTAGACTATTACCCGGTGTCAGATCCAGCCTGATCGGGAACAGCGTTAAATCGGACCTGGGATGGCAACCTTGGTTCACCGGCCTGGCATGGATGGTTCAAGCTTTCAGATCCTCTAAGGATATGCTGTATGTAATTTCCTGCCTTTTCACTCCTCGAGAGTTTTGCGACAAAATATGAAAATCCCAGCAGACCGGAACGTCTTGCGTCATGGGTGTGGTGATTTCGCCGATGAACGAGTAGAGACCAAAGAGACTTCACTCATCACTGCAAAGACACCGTGGCATACAGGATCATGCAAAATGCAGCTGAAACATACCCGAAATGGATGCTCGTCGGAATCAGCTCTTTCCATGGAGGGGACCTTCCTCTGTCGGAACGGTCAGGCGAGCCACACACACGCCCGCTTCACATGCTTCACCACTCCGTCGACCCCTGTCCCTGCATGTGAAGGGGGAGAGATAATCCACCATCTGGTTGGCACTCTATCACGCAAGCCTCTCGTATCTTAGACACACATGATCTAGACTCGAAGTGGGACACGATAAAACCAGGCTGACCACCCACACATGTCAAAATAATCCAGCCATCTTATCAAGATGTCGACATCTGACACACCCAGTCCCGGATAGCTTGTCTCGCCTGAGCCTCGACACCATGTTCTCTCCAGAAATGACCGGCTCCCTCGATCTCCACCGCCTGGAACCTACTCCCTGGTGCATGGGCCAGTTCGACTGACCACTTCTCTAATTTACTCGCCGACGTGAATGTATCCTCGTCACCAAAGATAGCCAATGTCTCATGCGCACACAGCTGATCTGCCGGCTTGGGACAGGGTATCTGTCCCTGTTTCCATTCCCCGGATGCCGACGATATCTGCGCACTCGCATCAAGCGACATCTTTGAAAATAGCGTCAAGAACTGATTAACCGGCGGCAGCAGCGGAGACACAAGGAGATAAGAAACAGCAGCAGTGCGTTTAATGCAATCCGCCGCGGATCTTATCTCCTCCACCGTAGCTGGACGATACATCGGCTGCTCCATTTCCTCCCCCAACCCCAAGCAAAGCGACAACTTCTCCGCGATCTGGTAGATCTCAGGAAACGGCGACTCAGACGATGAACACCGCACCAAATCCACAACATCATGAAGCTTCGGCAAATGCGACGCAATCATCGACCCATACGAATACCCACCCAAAACCAGCCTTATCTTACCCCCATCCTCTTTCCTCCCCTCCTGCCGTACTGCCCTTTCCCTCAAAAAATGCAAATACAGCAGCATAAACCCATAGAAAGAGACATAATCCGCCAACTCAGGCCTAGCCGTCCAACTCGTCCGTCCTTCAGAACCACCAGCGCCCCTGCCCATACCTAATTAGCAATCATCACATCGCATCACCTCACACCAACTCCCCAACATCCAAATAAATAAATAGATAGTATCAAAAATAAATAGATGTATAAAAGGAATGAAACATACCGAAAATTAAACATCCCAACAACACACCCCAACCTCAATACCTCCCCACCCACCACCCCCACAACCGGATCATCAAAGCATCCTCCCAGCGGCGCGTACGGATGCGCGATGATCGCCCCGCGCAGCAACCCAGAACTGTCGCGGAGTAATCTCTTGGGCAGATCCGGCGGCAGGTAGATGCGACAGTCTAGACGAAGACGGTCGTGTATGGAGGGGATGGAGAAGGTGTATGTTGGGGTGGAGGGGAGGGACATTTCTTTTTCTTCTTTCTTCAACTCTCCTTCTTTCCTCTTTTCCTTTGGTTCGGATTAAAAGGATTAAGGGATTAGGGTGCAGTGTGTCGTCCTCCTGGTGTTGGAGGGGGGATAGGAGGATATACGCGTGAAGGTGTAAGAAGGGAAAGAAAGGGTAAGTTGTTATTAGAAGAAAGAATATGGAGAGGGTTTTGTGGGTTTATTAGTAGTGGAGTGAAATCGAATTAAAATAGGAAGGGGATCTAGGGGAAATGAAAGAGATTAGTGGGATGATGACGGTGATGGTGATGTTTAAGGTAGTTAAAAGTGGTGAGTGGGGTAGCCCAAACTAAGTTTATTTACTAGTGTGTCTTGGTTGGGTCGGTCGGTCAGCTTAATTTGGCGGTCATTCGAGACATTCAGTTTCTGCTTGGAGATCATGAGATGAGGATGCTGACCACCATAGTTGTTAGGGATGAGGCTAGTTGGATGGGATTAAGCTTTTGGTCTACTACTTTGCTACTGCGTAGTAGTGCAATTAGTTTTTCATGTTAGTAAGTTCATTATCAGCAGTGGTGCATCTTCGTTGGGTGCAAAATATACCATCACACTGCGATGTGAATATTTCCAAATGATGGTCCTGATTTTATTATTCCAACAAAATATTTGATTGATGTATATGAACAGTCAGCTACTAGCAAAAGTATAGTCCTATATGTATAGCTGCCATATAATCAAAGCAGCAGCCACACTCCCATCACAGCCTCCACTGCTTCTTAACCTTGTTCTTCAGGTCCTCTATCGAGTCCATCTCATCCGCACGCACATCATCAGGTCCCAGAGGAGCAGACGGCTCCGGGACCCGAGCCCACGAATGATCCGGACTACAGATGTTGGCCGTTGTCGGCTTCCCCTCCTTTACCAGCTGTACGCAGTCATCACACAGATCGACCGCGCATTCGCGGCAAATATTCCCCTTTTCCCACGTCGCTGACGACACTCCACATCGAGCTTCGCAGATCCAAGCTGTTTCCTCCGGACAACTGACGCTGATAAGGATGGCTACCGCGGTGGACTCGTCATTCATCATGAGTAACAGCTTTGCAAAGGCATAGCTGGTTGTGTATGTACTCATCGCGTCGTTTTCGGCATAGACAAATTTCTTGACGAACGGGAGACAGTATTCCCGGGCCTTCTCCGGTTGATCGATTCGGTGATACCACAAACCAAGAATGGCTGTGGCAAAGTTGTTGGCAGCCCATTCGGAGACATGGTCTGAGTGGACCACTCTTCGTTTAGCAATCCGTTGGAGTGTGTGTATGTAGCGTTCGGACTCTGTGGTGCCTGGTCCGGCTCGGATGGCCCTGGTGAAAAGATAGACGCCATAATATCTGCTCACTAGCGATTGTATGTATAGCATCAGCAGGTTCCCCTGCATGAATGTTGCGGGAAAGTCCATCACCATCTGCCAGATCTCAACAGCGCGGGATTCCTTGTTGTCATAGCTGATGAAGAGGTCTGCCAGAGACACTTGCAGAGAAAACGCCAATACCGAGTCGCGCTGTTTTTTTGCTACCTCAATTGCTGTCATGTAAGCATATTCAAGCCATTCGAGCTGATCTGTGGCTCTGGCAGCAAACGCAATGGCCTGGTAGAAGTCACTGGACCAGACCATTCTTGAATTCTCCGAGAGACACTCTGTCAAGCGTGTGGCACCATTGTCACCGGACGCAGTGTCTAACCTTTTCAGGTGCTGTATGATTTTCTCATGGCTTTCAGGAGTCTTCTCTTCTGCAAGGAGCTGGATGTACTTAGAGAGGAACTTGCCCTCTGTGGTGACATCCAGAGCCTTTTCTAGGTAAATCAAAGCACTGGCTCTATCTCCGAGTGACAACAGTTCTTCGCCCACAGACTGGTAGGTGTCTGCAAGATCATAGTCTTCAACATTGTGAGGGAGCTTAGCACGCGCCTCAGGGTTTTCGGAAGCAGCCTCCAATATTTCAATATTCTCTTTGTAGAGCTCCAGAGATTTCTCATGTTGGCCACTGAGACTGTAGAGATATGCTAGACCGCTTCTAGCGAGCCACATCTGATTGTCCAGCTCTAATGCCGCTTCAAAGTAAACCTGGGCTTCCTCATAGTGTGACGTGTCCCTCAGGCAAATGGCAACTCTCCGGTTCCATTCTGCTGTCTTGGGAAGTTTGGCCCATTCTGCCGCATCAAGCACAGTTGAGGCAGCAGGATTGCCGGGAATTTCTTCGTCTGCTTGGCCTTCAAGCAGGCATCGTATCCGATATATGATCAGCATACACGTACGTGCGTCCCATTGGTAGCCCTGGAACCATTTCTTTGCAATGCACTCCGCAGCCGGAACGAGCAGCCTCGCGGGCTCCTGAATACTACTCAACACCCAATCGCGTATATCAGCCGGCAGAGAGTCCACAAATTGCTTATCATCCAAAAGCTTGGAAAATGGAATCAACGTCTCCAAAGACCAAAAGTTATCTACATCCCGTAAACTGATCCAAGCCTCCAGCACGGATTCATCACGGAGTGTTTTGAGCAGGAGGCTCCCGATTTCCTGCCGGTCGGTCTCCCCAATTCGATGAATGTGAGGGATGACGGCCTTAGCATGGCTATACCACCAGACAAGTGCATAATTCCGGAGGTTTGGACATTCGTTTGAGTCGCAAACTAACTGTAGACACGCTTTCAGTGTTGAGATTCTAGACTCAACAATATCAACACCAATGGCCACATAGTCGGGACCTGCAGAGAGCTTATTTTCGTTTTCATCACGAAAGAAATCACCAACAGACGCATGGCGGAACGTGACTTCTGTTGTTTCTGGGTTGGAATTGAAGTCGGTTTCTAGTTCGAAGGACTCCGCATCTTCATACTGATCGTCATCGATCTGAAGAGAAGATACATCTATTTCCGCCTGCAAGTCGGCGGTTGTCAGGCCGTCATCTCGGACGAGTGTCAGAAAGGACGCAAATTGCAACCTAAGCAAACTTTCGATGCCGACAATCTCCTCTGGGTCAGAGGAACCCAGACTCAGCGTGGATTCGATCTCTCGAAGAGAAAGAGGACGCGAAGCACACGCAACCCAGCCCAAGATGGTATTTAGTTCTTCAGGATCGTCGCCCTTCAAATAAGCGCTTAGGCCTTCCAGGGTACGTCTCATGGCCTCATACAGACCCTTCGGCGGTCGTTGCAAGCACTCCCTCATACTGCTCGCTCGATTATGTCGCCCCAACTCTTGGGTCATTAGGTCTACCCAAAGGAACATACCCTGTGCGTTCTTCACAAGAAATTCCATGACTTCTTTGCGCAGGCTTGGAGGCGCACGAGAGATGTTCCTAAACCTCCTCATAGAATGCTCAACGTAACGAGCGATATCATCATCATTCTTAGATCGATCTATAGAGATGGAGGCGACTGACTCCTGCAAGGCATCGGCTACATCAGCGGAAAGGTGGGGTCGTCCCAGCATAACGAACTGTACCCTGGGTGGGCCTGCGCATAGGTAGACTCAAATTAGCCTCCGACGGGCAGACGGCAGGACCATTAGAAACTTACTGCCAGCTTCATCAGCTGTAAGCTCAGACAGAAACTCCAAAAGACTCTGCCTGTCGGCCTCCATGCATTCGTCCAGGCCGTCTAGAACGATATAGGCATGCCGGCTACCTGCATCATCTTCAACAAAGTAGTCCCGGAACAGCGTCATCCATGCGCTCTGAAGACTGCATATATCACCGGGTGCGCTGCATTGAGTTGCAACGTGTCCGGCATATACCGAATCATTGAGGCAGATTTGATATGCCACGTCCCGGAACGCCTGGTGCAATCCTCGAGTTTGTGGGTTGTTATCCTTGAAGAAATAGTAGCCAACAGAGACTTCTGAACCTTGGTCGACGCCCTGGGGAAATCTTGTCTTCAGATTCGAGATAATGTATTCTGCGAGAAAGCTCTTGCCACAACCGGGAGGACCATGAATCCAGAGCAGGGGTTGCTCTTTGTTCAACCAAGCCTGGAATCCCACCTCTGCCTCTATCCATTCTCCAGTTCCAGACAGCCGTTTTCTTGCGAAAGTGTAATACATGTCTGAAGGGCCTACTGACGGCTGTAAAAGTGTCCTCAGGTAGTCAGAATCTCCATTGGCCTTTGCACCTGACCCTATGAATGAACCTAATAGGCTACTGATGTCTCGGTGCACCTCCTGACGAAGATCATTCTGACCTTCGACGAGACGTTGGAGATCCGCCTGAGCCTGGGCTAACCTCCCATGGTTATCTTCTAATACAAGACTAGCGCCATTAAGCACAGCAGACAGATTCTCAACAGCTAAGTTGGTTTTTTTGGTCTCACCCAGGGTCTCTGCTCCAACTAACTGGTGTTCCGTTTGGCAGAGCCTGTCCAGCTTGGAAACCAGACCCTGTAGTGTTTTGTCGGAACCAAGCAAGGTATTCTTGGTAAATTGGAGGATTCGACCTCTCAATCCAGCCCGAACTATCTTGGTCGCTTGACCAAAGATCTCAAGTAAGGTAGCTAGGATATCAACAACCTTTGCTTGAAGTGCATCCGACATGCGACTACCGTCGTAGATGGCGAGGCGGACAAGAAAGTCCTATATTCTCAGGAGGGTCAGACCACGCTGTCTGGCAGGGTTTGTGATATGATATACATAGACTTGCCTTCAAGGTCACAAAAAGTGCCATGACTGCATCATAAGACGCCGACACATCTTTCGCAGCATCAATAAGATATGTAATGGCGCTGAAGCACACGCCACTGGCTGGAAAGGCGTTGGAGGCAATGCTTGCAGCCATAGACCCAAAGCGTTCAATTGGATTGCAGATGCATGTCAGAATCTCGAAAAGCGAGCGCTTCCTCTGTCTAAACTGGCCAAAATGGCCGTTCTGACTATCCAGTCGATCGAGCAACTCTTCCACTGAAGAGGGGTGGGGTAGTGAGGGATCATCTAGTTGTTTGCCCACAGCCGCAGTATATCTCTTCAACGCCAAATCCCAGGTCACCACAAACTGGGAGTGGCTTTCGATGGTAATTGTCATCTTGTTCTATGCTGCTGGCTGATTTGGATGAAGACCAAAGACGATGA